TAAAAAATATTTTTTAAAAAAATGGATTACTAATGAAATTTATTTTAGTTAAAAAAAAAATACTCCGTTGGTGATTTTTCAAATAAAAAAATAGAAAATAATTTGATTAAATTACTGAATGATTAACGATAAAATATAACTAAATACATAATTAATTAAAATTCGTCCGCTAACTCTTATGTAAATACTTTTTGGGTATATTTGTTTCATTTTATAAATGTAAGTATGAACTTAATCGTTTAAAATATGAAAATTCATTGGCTTTTTTTCAAACATTTTCAATTATTTTACCACATTAACTAGTTATATAGGCCATAAGAATGTAATTAATAAGTTTTAGAAAGTCCATGGAGTTATTTAATAAGTTTTGGAATGTCCAGTGATTTATTTGTTCCAAAAATATGTCTAAGGACTTAATTATTCCAAACACCAAAGTCCATTGGGTTTATTAGACTTTTCCCTTTATTTTTATGTCACTACTTCTGTAATATTCGCATCCGCAATATAGTGGACATTGCTCATCTTTTTCATTACTGTAAGTCCCAACAATTACTGATCGATTTCTTAGATTGATTTCTTCCTAGTGACGATCTTTTGCTCATCTTCTGCACCGGTGGACGATTTCCATGGATTTTCGTCGTCTTCTTTGATTTTAGTTGGACGATTTCCATGGATTTTTGTCGTCTTCTTCGATTTTAGGGTACAACCTCTTGATTTTCCGTCGTCTTTCTTCAATTTCAATGGATTTACGTCCTCTTGTTCAAACTTGTTCTCAGCCTCCAGATTATTATGTTTTGATGTTGAAAATAGTTTGATGAATGGTATCTTTTTGGTTTGATGAACAAACCTTTTTAGCACGTGTTTTATTGCCAACGAACAAATCCAAGTCATATTGTTTCAGCTTCCTACTTTTTCTCATTCACTGCACACTATTACAAATGTGAGTTCCACAACCAGTATCAAGTATCCATGAATTTGATGAAAAAGCATAAAGTTCTATCACATGGATACCTGATCAGCAAGGTAGGCATGACATTTCCTCATCCAGTGACCTTTCTTACCACAATGGTAACAGTCGACATTCTTAGCAGGGTTTTCCTTTTTCTTGGGTTGAGGTGCAATCTTTGGGGCAATGATTTTGACTTTACCCTTTCCTTTTACGTCAGCAGGTGGTTTCTTCTTGATGTGACCTTCCCTTATCATCAGAACTGTTGGAGTTTTGGTTGGAATGCTCTTCTCAGCAGTTTTGAGCATCAGATGCAACTCTGAGATAGACTTTTCCCATCCTTGCATATTATAGTTCAAGATGAACTCGTCATGTGATTTAGGCAAAGAGTTGAGAATCAACATGATAGCCAAGTTTGTGCCCACATGAGATCCAAACCTTTCCATTTGATCAATGTAGCTCTTCATTTTCAAGACATGAGAGCTAACCGATTGACCGTCCTCCATTTTACGTGCATGGAATGATTTGACAGTCTAAAAAATTTCCTGTTTGGCTTGCTGTTGAAACATTTCTTCAGCTCCTCAAGCATTTGATATGCTTCATGAGTTTCCATGTCCTTCTGGAGGTCAAGAATCATACTTGCAAGCATAAGGCATGCTATTTCACTCTGCTCATCACACTTTTTAATCCAAAGCATTACGAACGGGCAGCGGTGGCGGTATCTAGAGGAGTTTTAGGTAAGGGAGCGTCAAGAACGTGCGGTTTCTTTTCATGCTTGAGGACGATCCTCAAGTTACGATGCCAATCAAGAAAATTCGCACCGTTCAATTTCTCCTTCTCCAACAGAGAAGGAGTGACAGATTGTTTACGGGTGTGGTCGACATCTACAAAATAAAATTCATCTATTTAGTATTTTTAATATTGATCCTTTCAAAAATTAATCACCCTTATGTTTTAATTTTATAAATGCTAAGATCCGCGTTAAGATTTATTGTTATGCTCTACTAATCATGTACATAACAATAAGTTTAACCGGTAGGTGGCAGGTACCAATTATATCATAATACGATTCTTAAATATTTATGGGACTCTTGGACATCTAGTGTGCAATTGTCATGTTTAGTCCCACGTTGGCCCCAAGCTTAGGTCTTACCAGGGCGTCACTTAAGTCGTCCAATTTAGGATTGTGAAAATTTGGCTTACGTCTTACGATGGTGCAAATTTATCACCTTGAGACTATAATATTACTGGCTCTTAGCGCTACCCTAAAATTATAGTGCCAAGTATCCTAACGATTGGATGACGTGACTTAAAATTTTAAAAGGGTATTATTTTGTATAATCGGTATTTTACAAAATTGTGTTACGAAAATTTGCATGCATCCAAAAAGGCTAAGTTGGCTATGCTTAAATAATTATATAAAAAAACGATTTATAATCGACAATATAAACCAACGATTTATATCAACAATATAAACCAAAAAACGGCTTGATTCATGGCTAATCATGCATGTTCATAGTCATGAAGAACAACATTAAAAAATAAGCCCTTTTCATAAATATCAACAATATTTATGAAATTTTAAATATTTGATTATTTCAATTTGTTGTAATCGAACAACAAAAATTAATTACTCAAAAATTCAATGGCGATCCATCTTTTCCAAAGAGGCTTTGATATCACTGTTGGAAATCAAGGGAATGTTTAAAATCTTTTAAACAGACAACGTAAAATCAACGCAACGGAAAAAACATAAAAAGCTTTATGTGAAACGATTTCTAAAAGCCTAGATTTGATTGAGTAGAATAAATCAACCAAAAGATAAAACTAAGAACGACAAAATCTGAATCTTATCTCTTAGATCTGGAAGAATCTGATGTAGAAACAAACGTTCAAACATAAACGCTTCTATCGGTATCCACATGAGCGATACCAATCAGATGCTAGTCTGTACTTGTAATCAAAACATAATTTCTCTTCATCTTCTTGACTGAAACGATCCAATGAAGTATGGGTGGGTGGATTTTGAGAGAAGGGAGTAGGAGATTAGAAATCTTAATCTCCTAAATCCTATTCCTTTTATAACCGCTTTCGTGGACTTTCATCATATGGACTCTAAGCCTTTTCTTTTTAGTTTAATTTAATTAAACTAACTTGGTCCATTTAATATTATTTAAACTCTTTTAAATAATAAAACCTTTTAATTAATTAATCACATGGATATAATTAATTTTTTTCATTTTATTCCTTAGACATTATTTCGACTCACTTAGCCAAATAATTWTGAWATAAACTTTTACTCTTTTTGATTAAATCATTATATATATATATATATATAGGCTTGAGATCATGTGAGACCAAGGGTTTTTTCGTGAGATCTGTAAGACCAATTTCAACCCTTAGATTAGATCTACAATTTGACAATTTGAACATTCATAAACGCCACGAGACTTCTCAATAATCACAAAATTGCCACCGTGCAACTTTAGACTATTAGATCATTAGCTTATAAAGTTGATCAATGAACATAAATTGGTCTTACGGGTCTCACGAAAAAACTCTTGATCTCACGTGAACCCAACCCTATATATATACACACACACACACACATATATACATATTATTTAATTGGTATCATTATTGCTCTTTGTGTGTGACCCGATAGATTTATATGCAATCAGTAATATAGTTAACACCGAACAATCTTGTTTCTTGCACATAAATTCAACATTTGTTATAAAGGAATTTGAAATCTGTGGATATCCTGTGGAATTGTGAAATCGATAACTTAAGGAATTCATTGGAATTGAAAGGATTCCATCACTTTTATTCCGTGAACCGGACATGTGTTTTGGAATTTGGTCAAAGTATTTGGCCGTTCTAATTCCTTTCAGTCGCATCAAATTCCATGAACCAAACAACCATTAAGGTCTTTTTGGTTTGTAGGAACGAAATGTAATTAGAGGGATTTGGATTTCAAATCCATTCCAATCTAGTGTTTGATATGCCAAGATCTTTTGGATTTGAAATCCTAGGATTCTTAACATAGGATTTTGAAATTCCTTGGAGGTGGTTGAGATTTTACTTGATTTTGTAGGATTTATATATAATAATATTTTAAAATATGTTAAAAATATTTATTTTCTAATAATTCATTAATAAAAAGGTAACTTCTTTATTTTTATAATTTATCTATAAAGATGGAATTCCATTTCATTACAAATCTATCAAACCAAATATATCAAAGATTCCAAATCTTTCAATCCAAAACTCTCCAATTTCAAATCCTTCCAAACCATTCCATCAAACCAAATGCCCCATAGGGTTCATTTGTTGTTCAGACAAGACAAGACAACATAGAACAAGACATGACAGAACAACGGTTCACCATTGGGTAAGACAGAACCATCCAGAACAAAACAAATAAAATGATCAATTTACCCCTAACGAGTTGTTTATATATGTTAATTAATTTATGTAGTTTAATAAATTATAATACAATAACTATTTTTTATAACAAAATATACCATTAGAAAATTTTCGTCAGAACAATTAAAATGACACCAAATAAAAAGTTTATGTAATTTCAAATTTTTATTTTATCCTTTATCTACATTATTTTTTTTACCATCAACATAAAATAAATTACATAAATTAAAAAAATTATAGAATCATATAAAAATAATATTTTGAACATAGTAACATGAAAATTTAAAAAACATAAAATACAATAAATAAAACTTAAATAATGAATAAAATATAAAACAAGTCTTATTTAATGCTTTAGAATAAAACTAAATTTAATTTTTAAATTTATGTTGGTAAAATATAAATCTGTTCAATCTTCTTCCATAAAATAATCATGCATACATACATAACATATGCATATACTTAAAATTTTGCATACACTTCCATGTCCATAAAATAAAAATCGAACATATTTGTTCTACTTTATTCCAGTCTGTTCCATATAAAAATATTTTGTACCGAACAAACCCTTAAAAATATCTAGAAGGTGGTAAGTTTAACGGACATGTGTAGCATGCCAAGTATATTATATGTTGGCAATGAAAGTGGACAAGCCACTCGGTCATGAGTGTTGTCGGATCACGCGCGCCCTCTTCGAACCATCTCATCTATCCAACAAACACGCTTTCTCTTCTCTTTCCCCTTTCCTTTGTCATTAGGGTTTTTACTGTTTCGATTTTGACTTCGGATCAACGTTCTCATCTGCACTATTTCATGTTGAATCCTATTGAAGATGCAAAGCAAGAATATAATTTATGTTATTTGATTTCCTCACGTTTTCTTCATGATTTTCGAATCCGATCTTTATAAATTTAGTTGAGGAGTAGAAGAAGATACTTAGGTGATTTGGTACAAGAACTAAGCCGAATCATCGATTTCAGCATGCCGTTCAGTTGGAAGAAGAAGACTAGGTGCACGAGGTTTTCGCAATTGGTGGCTGATCATCTTCAATCCCCGAAACACGGTGGTTCTCTTGTTGTGGAAACTGGTTTTCCAACTTCTCTTATTGATCTCTACGTCAGGAATCGCGGTCGGTTTCGTAAATCTTCAGCGAAGAAACAGAGGGGGAATGATTCACCGACTCCCTTATCGTCGTCATCAGATTCGTTGGTAGATTCAAATAATTTGTCGTCTGGTGTTTCGGATTATAGGGGAAGTGATGAAATTATCGAAGAGGATGTTGTTAGTGGTGGTGGTATGGTTGTGAGTGGCAGTAACATAGAAATTGACGATTCGAGTATAACTGAAGTAGAAAGGAGCGTTGAAATGGCAAAGTTGAATCCGGTAGTTGCGGCTGCGTTGAAGGTTTTGTTTGTGGTGGTTTTGATCTTAGGCACAAAGAGGTTTAAGTTTGGGATTACAGTGTCAGCTTTCCTCCTTTTCTTTCTGGAATTGGTCGGGAAGCCATTGTTGGGGAGATCGAGTCTGACAAGACCTGGTGTAGATTCAAAAACACTGTTTGAATCTAGTCCTCATGGAACCAAGAATATTAAAGATTCAAAAGAGAATGCAACTCTTTTTGTTTGCAGTGAAGTGGTGGAGATTGAAGAACAAGTAGATTCACAGGAGGAGGCTAGATCGAAGAAAGAATTAGATGAAGTGAGGAGTGAAGTTTTGATGGAAGTTAGGCATAAGAGTTCTCGTAAAGCTCTGATGAAATCGAGGATGAAGAAACTTGTACCTAAGAAACTACGAAAATCTTCCATGGGTTCGAAAGGCGAAATCTCTTGTGGGTTGAAGGAAGAAGAAACAGTGAAACGTGCCCAGGATCTCAACCCATTAGTCTTCTCTAGTGAATACTCAGAATCAAAACTTAAGATCTTGTGTGCTTCAAAGCAAGAACCGAACAAGATTGTAGAAATAGAAGGACCATCTTCATCCTCAACCCTGTTAAGTGAAACTGATTGCAGTAACAAGAAATTAGGGAAGGAATCACAACAGAATTATGGATGTTTGGTTCTATGCTTGATTGTTCTTATTGGACTGATTGGAGGAAGGGTTTTGGCTCTTGTACTTGCACTATCTTGGTGCTTTATACAGAAGAAGTCACATGGAGAAATGTAAAGTTTCCCATCTCCTAATCTAGATTCGTTGTTTTACAATTTGTTCTTTCTTCTTGTTTCTAAATCTCTCTTGTTACCTACTTGTGCACAACTTCATTTGAGCAATAGAAGTATACCTATACCATAAATGTTCTTTATCGTTCTTCAAATGCATCATACTTGTCTAGTTCTTATCTTTGTTTGCTCTTGCTTATTGCTTATGATCACCATAAGGATTCGACATAATGCATTAGGAAACACAATTGGGTGGGTGCCTCTTGAACACACAAAATCCATGGTTTCAATTGAACACTGTCTACATTTGTGTGAATCAAACAGATACAAACCTATTGTTTGGTAATTTCTCAACAAAATGGACTGTAAATCCTATTGTTTGTACCCACTGAAGAGAACCTCACCTAGGCTATATTACCAATTTGTATTAATAATTCAAAGATCTGGTCATGGGATGAACACGCTGCTGCATTCTAAAGAATTGCATCATAAAGCATCCATAAGAATTCAATACCTAGTACTTGTAGAACCTCCATGAACCTTTTGAAGGGGACTGAAGCAGTGCGTGTAGTGAAACTGAAAACCGTTATCAACACATGGCTGGAGTGAAGTGAAAAACAGGGGATTTGGAAACAGAGTAATATTACATTCACTCTGCAAAAAAAGGGTATGGCCCACCATCTCGAGCGTCCCTGTTGTACTGGTTCCATGACCATCCTGGGGAGGTTAATCTCGCATCCTGGGACGGGGGTGGTGTCTGTAGGTGAACCCAGACCTCCTACCCTTCCTTTCTGTAAGGATGTCCACCTCACTGTACATCTCTAGCATTTAGATGTTGAGTACAAGAGTAGTTAGATTACAGTACTTACAACTTGCTTTCACTTTGTTTCAATAAAGTGTGCATTGCCTATTATTGTTGAAGTAGCAATCGAACTAGCAACAGTAAGTGTAACGACCTTCAAAGAGAGGTTATTTCGAATCTATAAATAAATCAAAGTATAACATCGAAATACTTAAAATCTTGTCGTACAAATAGGTGAAACAAGTGTCAGACATATACCGACAATCTGCCATACATGCATGTACGTTGGACCTTAGATCGAGATGTACCAAATTGTGAGATCGGGGTGTAAAACTATGCCGCCATCCACCATACAAACAAAATAAAAACTAGTGCCGACCCATATACCTCCTAAACAAAATCTGCTTAATCAGCTCTCACTAGAGCGCAAAAGAGGAGATGTGGATTAAGCATTACTGCCACAAGTAATGCATGTAACAGCACAAAGTTTCAAATATGATGGGGAGCTTAATCAAGATAAATCAACGAATAAGCAGTTTCTTACAATGCCATTACACAACAAAAAGTTACATCAAGGACTATGGAATCAAATGATAAATTAGACAGATAAATAAAAAATTGTGATGGTAAACAATCATAGGTAGAGAGTTACCATTTCTAACTATTACTTTTAGATATTACATTTTATAGTTTGGTCCTATAAGAGCATCTTCAATGCAAGGTTTTTAGTAAAAAGTGTAGTTTCTTACGAGAATCAATATTATGGAGTCGTCGCCCTCACTTACTCAGTAAGACTCTCAATCTTTGTATTCGCTCTTTCTGGATAAGATTCTTGGTCCTTGTCATATACATCCGATAAGGTAATTTGACTTGGTAAGTGCTTACCCGGGTAAGCGTTTGGTAAACGCACCTTAGCAGGGACAGACCCATAATTTTTTTTCAAACGGTCGAACCATTTGACTATAAGAAACAAATATAGGGAAACAATTTCAAACGATGACACCCTTTGACTATAAGAAACAAATATAAAGAAACAATTTCAAACGGTGACAACATTTGACTATAAGAAACAAATATAGGGAAACAATTTCAAACGGTGACACCATTTTGACTATAAGAAACAAATATAGGGAAACAATTTCAAACGATGACACCATTTGACTATCAGAAACAAATATAGGGAAAAATGCTTCAAACGATGACACCATTTGACTAAGAAAACGACATTAACAAGATTTGAACTTGGATCTGGGATGGAAGAAAAACCTTGCAAATCAACTCTAACAACGAAAACTTGTTCTCATTGTAGTTTCAAATTACATACGATGACACACAACAAATTAATACGGTTACACATTTCACGAAGCAAAATCTTTTGAGTTTTTGACAAAAGAATAATATGATGACACGTGGCACCCATGGCACCACTACAGGTCCGTCCATGCACTTTAGTTGCAATATAATACTAATTTATAATGCTACGTGGTAGTTTTCTTAAAAGAAATTGGCAACTCAGAACAAACCCACCTCACGTAAGATTTACTTCATTATTAGGTAACTTGATGTTAAAATAGGAAGATTTGAAAGTTTAGTACATTAATTGTGAATTTTTTTAATTGTAACATTATAGAAATTAAAATAAATTTTGTTATATTTTAATTCATTTGTATTCTTATCTATGTTATATTATAAAGTATTTGATAAAAACTCTTAAAAACCATTTTTTATGCACGAAGTACTGTTTATTGATGCATATTACTTAAAATTTAAGATTACGAGTAAATTGTAAATAAGTACAACTTATTAAAACTCCATATTTGAATTCGTGTAACTAACTGCAGATAAATACAATCAAATACCGGATAAACATCTTATTTTAAATATATAAAATCTAAAATATAATTAGGATAATCATTATCTCTATGAAATTTTATTAAGCCAAAAATAAATTACTTCACTAAATCGTAAAAACATTATCTTTCTCAAAACCACATAAACCGTATTATATCAACAAAGACAAAAAAAATAAAATGAAACATTAAAATGAAGATATATATCGCTGCATTGTACGAGTACCCTTCTGCCGGCATATATCTCCCCGTATTATCCTCAGCGCTAACCTCTCCCTTAATGCCTGTGTTAAGGACATTTTGTCAGGGAAACTGGACTAGCCCACATCTGCGGGACAATCCCAATCCCCTTTTTCGTGACTCTTCCCTTCCTGTCATTTCCCCTTCTGTCCTTGATAAACTCCTTTGGAGGAAAATGGATGGTTGTCTCACTTCTTTTTCTGTCCATGAGGTCTGATTTTCCATCCGCCCCAATGAGTCGGAGGTCGGGTGGCATCATATGGTCTGGTTCTCTCAAAACATCCCCAGACATGCTTGAGGACCTATGATAAGCTCCGGTTCTGTGAGGCCTATTCTAACCTGTCTTGTGTTTTTTGTCTTAACGGGCCTGATTATCATCAGCATCTATTTTTTGAGTGCCCATTTCCTAATTAGGTTTGGAATGGCCTTAAGCCAAAGTTGAACCTCCTTGTTATTCCCGATACCTGGACGGATATTATCAGTATGTTCCAGCAAGCCACCAAAGGCAAGACCTTTTGGTCTATTGTTCGACGTTTAGTGCTTGCTGGAACCGTCTACCACCTCTGGCAGGAAATAGATAATCACATATTCAAGAATAAGAGAAGATCCTCTGACATGGTGGTCAAGACTACCTCTGATGATGTCCGGCCAGGCTGATTGGCCTTATCATGAAGCCTTCCCCTAATGTTACCCGTGCTAAGCTTGTCTGAAATCTTCCGTAATGGTTGGTTTCTTTCCTCTCTTCTCCCCCCCCCCCTCCCCCCTTCCTCCTTCTTTCTTCTCCTCCCCTTTTATGAGTTTTGCTCATTTCTGGTGGTTGCTTCCGTTTAGCTTCCTCCCGTGTGCTGTCCTTGGTTCCTGTTTTTATAAAAAAGTTTAAAAAATCCAAAAAAATTGTCTTTACTTTCTTTTTTTTTATTGGAGGGGCCGCCCCCCTCTATATCTAAAAAAATATGCATGGTTTAATTCATAGGAAAAGACCAATTTTACAATCCAACCAATTGGCAAACCAAACATTTAGGGGTCGTTTGGTTTGCGGAATTTGATGGAATTGGAATGACAAATTTTCTTGACCAAATTCCAATTCCTTTGTTTAGTTTATTTCTTGAAATAGATGGAATTTTTCAAATTCCATTGAATTCCACAAATTAAAAATTAATGAATTCATCATTCCTTGGCATAATGGAAGGAATTGAATTCCATCACCACCCATTACGACCATGCTACTATTGTTCGTCATGTCCTACCCCTAACCCCCACCACTACCACACCACTATTGTTGTCGCCACCTACCCCCACCACTAACCACCATACCACTACTGTTATCATCACACTCACCCACCCCCCGGTTACTCACTATGTATCCTTACTACGACCATGCTACTACCGTTATCATCACACCCCTAATCTAACCCCCCACCACACCATTATTGTCGTCGTCACAATTGCCACTCACCCCCACCCCACCTTACCTCAACCCACCACCAACCACCATGCCACTACTGTCGTCATCATATCCACCCACTCCTAGTCACCCGACCACCATCCCACCACTGTCGTTGTCACAACTACCACTCCGCCCTACCCCTAAATCCTCACCTCGCCCTTAACCTAACCCCCACCCCCACACCACTATTGTCGCATTCACAACTACCACTCACCTGCACCCCATCCTACCCCAAACCACCACTAAAACACCGTGCCACTATTGTTGTCGTCATACCTACCCACTCCTAATCCCCAACCACCCGACCACTATCCCACCATTATCATCGTCATAGCTACCTCCCCGCCACCTACCCCTACCCACCCTTACCGTCCCGCCCCATCCCCGCCTCACCATACCCTACTCCAACTCGCCAGTAACTACCAGCCTACCATTATAGTTGTTACAGCTACCACCCTGCCACCTATTGCCCCACTCTAGCCCTAACAACTCCCACCAATGGAGCAGGGGTGGGGCGGGTTGAGGGTGATGGGGAAGGGTTTGGGTAGGGGCGGGTGGGGGTAGGGTGGGGTGATAGCTATGACGACGACAACAATAGTGACATGGTGGTTGGTAGTGTGTGAGCGGGGGCGATGGGTGGGATAATCCAAACAAAGACGATTGTTCCAATCCTTTTGAGAGATCTCATTCCAATTCCTACCAACCAAACGTGTGGTCAAATTTCATTCCAATTCCTTCAAAGTCAAATTCCTTTGATAGATTCCAATTCCTTTGATGGATTTCAATTCCATCAAATTTCATTCTATGAACCAAGCATTACCTTAGTTTTGAAATTTTTCAAAGCGATGGATCGCAAAAAGTTATCAATTTGATTTTAAGCCAACTACTTAGTGGATTCAGTTTGACTCTTACATGATGCTAATGCATATAAAATGTTGAAAAGCATATCAGATAATTACTGGAAACTAAATTAATGTTATAAAAAACATAGAAAAGTGAAAATGGATACCCATTGAAGCTCTAGTATTCATAATTTCATATCGATCCATATCGAACGACTCTTTTCTCAAAGATGGCGGTAGTATAGAAAGGTTAAAGATGTAGAAAGGCAATCATGGGAACAACAAGTTTGAAATTTTAATCGTTGTCTTGGAAGCAAGAACGTTGTCTTGGAGTCGGAATCTATGTTGTGGGAGTGGAAATCGTCAGGGAGCATAATTGCCTAGAGTGGAATGCCAATAACATGAAAGTTGAAGTGTTAAATTGTACATGCTTGTAACGTTTAATTAAGAGAATTTCAAATTTATGCATTATAAGGCAGTACTAAGACTTTATGGGTTATTTCTATGACATTACAATATAGATCTTGAGTGCTTCATTTCCAAGTTATAAAAAAAATTCAATTATATACTCAAGATATTTTTTGGGTCATGGAGTTGTATAGTTCGATAGAAAACCTAGAAGAACAAACCCATTAAAGAGGAAGAAAGAAGTTGAGAAGAAAAAGACCTAAATGCCTCTCACTTAATAGTAAATTCTACGCTTTGTGGTTCAGGTTTCCAGCCGCGATGAAGAGGTTTATACTTCTACCCTCAAACATTAGCACTTAACGGCCGTTAGTCTAACGTTCCAAAACCAAACCAGAGTATAAACCAAGAGTTATGGGTGTATTTAAATAAAATCGTGGGATGAAAACCAGAATTTTGGTAAACTATAAGGACTAAAAATGTAATTCATAAAAAAAAATTAAAGTAGGTATTAATAATAAACAATGTAAAAGGCACGTTGGACACTTTAACCTGTCATTAGATCCTTTTCTGAAAATTTCCAGAAATAAATTAAATAATATCAATCTCATTATTTCTCCTTTATTACCACTAAATACCCAATCATGCTTACGTGGCAGATCGGCCCAACGGCTACTTTCTTTATAATAATCCGACCGTTTATTTTCAAAGCTACAAAGTCCACCCTTTTCAATCTAAACGGCAAGATGGCCCCCACCCTTTGTCGCCGGAAGTCCAGATTGATATATCTTGGCCGTTCGATATTCAAATGTGAACGGTCACGATCACTTGACCGTTGTTAATATTTTTGCAAAATCCCCTTTCTCGGACTCTACAAAAGTCCCCTGACCAGAATCCTGAATTTCAAAATATAAACCCTTCGGTTTCTATAGATCCTTCATCTCTTGATGTAATGAAATCTTGCCAAAAGTTTAGATAATCTTGAATACCCGTTTGTGATTCCATCGTTTTTTTAGGTTAAAATCAGGAATTTGAGTGAGAGATGGTGATCAGGGCTCATGATTCTCCGTCGTCATCTCCGGTGAGAATCACGGTCTCTTCGGCTGGTGGATTTCGGAATGTCGGATTGACGAGTCCGGTGCAGCGGACTTCCATTTCGAATTCTCCACTCAGCGGTGGAGAAATTAGGCGCTTGAGTGGCGGGAGGCGAGCTTCTGGCGTTGGTGGCAGCGGTGGCGGTGGTGGTGGGAGGTATCTTTCTATGTCAAAAGATGGAGCTGACGAATACGTTGCTTACACCGTTCATATCCCTCCAACCCCTGAACACCAGTTTATGTCGTCTTCCGAAATCAGTCCCGAATATGTGAAAAACCACGGAAACCCAAATGAGAATCGGATCAAAGACACGGTTTTTACAGGTGGATTCAATTCGGAGACTCGAGCTCATGCTCGTCGGATGAAATCGGTCGAAGAAATGACGGTGGTTAAGTCAAAGTTGCTCTGTCAAGTCGACGGCTGTGACGAGAAATTAGTCGATAAATCTTCGAAATCTCAGTGCGAATGCGGGTTTAGAATCTGTAACGAATGTTACTTGGATTACTGTTCGAGTGGCGGTGGTGTTTGTCCAGGGTGTAAAGAACCATTTCGAGAAGCTTGTGAAGAAGATGACGGTGATTATCAGCCGGCGATGTCGGAGGAGAAAAAAGACACCGTCAATCCGCTGCCGAGACGCGGTGGTGGGATCCGATTGGAGAACAATTTTTCATTGGTGCGATCGTTTAAAGCTCCAAATCAAGATTTCGATCACACACGGTGGCTGTTTGAGACAAATGGTACTTATGGATTTGGGAATGCGGTGTGGCCTAGGGAGGAGTGCCACCGTGGTGGCGGGGGCCTTGATCAGTACGAGAGTCCGCCGATGTTCAATGACCGGAGGAACCGGCCGCTGACCAGAAAAGTTGGGATTTCTGCTGCCATTCTCAGCCCTTACAGGTTACAATTGCTCTAAAATGTTAATAGTTTTTATAACGGTTCTTTATGTTAATTGGATATTCCGGCGAAATGCAGGCTGCTGATCGTTTTACGGCTGGTGGCGCTGGCTCTGTTTCTAACATGGCGGATCATGCATCCAAACCACGAAGCAATCTGGCTATGGCTGATGTCTGTAATCTGCGAGGTTTGGTTTGCGTTTTCGTGGATTCTCGATCAGCTTCCGAAGCTCTGTCCGGTGACCCGTTCCACGGATCTCTCGGTTCTCAAAGAACGGTTTGAACCCACCCGAAACAATCCAAAAGGATTATCGGATCTTCCGGGGATTGATATATTCGTCTCGACAGCTGACGCAGAGAAAGAACCGCCGCTTGTAACCGCAAACACCATCCTCTCGATTCTGGCTGTTGATTATCCAGTGGACAAGCTGGCCTGTTACCTCTCGGATGACGGTGGATCGTTGGTGACATTCGAAGCTTTGGCTGAAGCCGCTAGCTTCGCTGGCACATGGGTCCCATTCTGTCGGAAGCACGAGATCGAGCCAAGGAACCCCGAGGCATATTTTTCACAGAAAGGCGATCCGTTGAAGAACAAACGACGGGTTGATTTCGTTAGGGAACGGCGACGGGTGAAGCGGGAATACGACGAGTTTAAAGTGCGGATCAACGCGTTGCCGGAGTTGATTCGGCGGCGATCGGATGCGTGTAACGCACGAGAAGAGCTTTTAGCGAAAAAGAAACAGATGGAGCTCGGCGGAACCTTGTCGGAATCAGTAAAAGTCCCGAAGGCGACTTGGATGTCGGACGGAAATACTTGGCACGGAACATGGTTTTCGGGCGAGGAAGATCACTCGAGAGGCAACCATGCCGGAATCATTCAGCTTATGTTGGTTCCACCGGCTCCTGAATGTACCTACAAAACCGAAGAAGATCCTGAGGATCTGATCGACACCCGGAACGTTGATACGAGGCTACCAATGCTTGTTTACGTGTCCCGAGAAAAGCGGCCTGGATTCGATCACAACAAAAAAGCGGGGGCGATGAACGCAATGGTTCGAGCCAGTGCCATAATGTCAAATGGGTCATTTATTCTTAACCTCGATTGCGATCATTACATATATAACTCGTTGGCTTTACGCGAAGGAATGTGTTTCATGCTCGATAGAGGTGGCGACAAGATCTCTTACGTTCAATTTCCGCAGCGATTCGAAGGGATCGACCCTAGTGACCGTTACGCGAATCACAACACCGTTTTCTTTGATGTCAGCATGAGAGCTCTCGACGGGTTACAAGGTCCGATGTACGTTGGAACCGGGTGTATTTTCCGGAGAATCGCTCTTTACGGGTTTAGCCCGCCTCGAGCCACCGAACACCGTGGGTGGTTCGGCGGCCAGAAGATCAAGTTTTCATTGAGGAGAATGAAGAAGAACAAGACTGAAACCGAAGAAGATGCTGAGATGATCATGCCGATTGTAGATGATCAGAACAACGATGAAGAAGATGAACTCAAACAGGCCTTGATTCCTGAACGGTTTGGCGATTCCACCTATTTGATCGACTCGATCGCTGTGGCGGAATTCGGAGGCCGACTGATTCATGAGTTACGCGGAAAAGGCAGTCACGGAAGACCATCGGGGTCTCTTGCAGTTCAACGCGAGCCAATCGATCGAGCCGCGATCGAAGAGGCAATCAAGGTCGTCACCTGTTTCTATGAAGATAAAACCGAATGGGGGAAACGGGTAGGGTGGATCTACGGGTCGATAACCGAAGATGTTGTGACCGGTTACCGGATGCACAATCGGGGGTGGCGATCGGTCTACTGTGTCACCAAGCGGGATGCTTTTCGGGGAACAGCTCCGATCAACTTAACGGACAGATTGATTCAAGTTCTCCGGTGGGCCACCGGATCTGTCGAAATCTTCTTCTCGAGAAACAATGCCCTTTTCGCTAGCCCACGAATGAAGTTTCTGCAACGAATCGCCTATTTCAACGTCGGAATGTACCCATTTACCTCCATTTTCCTCTTGGCTTACTGTGTTCTCCCGGCGCTTTCCCTCTTTTCCGGTAAGTTCATCGTTCAATCGCTGAACGTAACATTTCTGATCCTACTTCTAGCCATCACCGTTACCCTAAGCATGCTCGCCCTCTTGGAAATCCGGTGGTCTAAGATCACCCTCCACGATTGGTGGAGAAACGAGCAGTTCTGGTTAATCGGCGGCACTAGTGCACATCCAGTGGCGGTGATTCAAGGTCTGTTGAAGGTGATTGCCGGAATCGACATCTCATTCACACTGACTTCAAAACCAGCGGCGGCGGATGACGGCGAAGATGAATTTGCAGAGCTGTACGAGTTCCGATTCACGATGCTGATGATTCCTCCGGTGACGATTATCTTATTGAATGTGGCGGCGATAGCGGTGGGGGTATTTAGGACGATGTACAGTCCATTCCCGGAGTGGAGCAAGCTCGTAGGTGGAGTGTTCTTCAGCTTCTGGGTGTTATCACATCTGTATCCATTTGCAAAAGGGTTGATGGGGAGAAAAGGGAAGATATCAACGATTGTTTATCTGTGGTCGATGTTGATCTGCATTGTGATATCGCTGATATTTCTGTATATCCACCCGCCGGACGGCAGCCGTGTCACGGTGGGCTTACAATTCCCTTGATTTGTGGTTGTTTTCGGGGTTTAGATTGTTTCTTTTCTATGTATTTGGGTTCATTTTGTGTACTATATATATAAATATTACATCTTGTAAGAAACTATTATGAAATTGAGAATGGAGTGAGTCCTGAATTTGAGGATCAAACAAAGCCAGAGCCAAAGAAATGTGTCCCAAATTAACAACCCCTCAAAATTTCTGACACTTTTCAATTCATCCATTTCTAGGTCAAAAACATGTATGCAAAATCTCCCCTTTTTTCCTCTCAAATTCATAGTATCATCAACATCCAACACAATCTTTGATTCATGGTATAAGGATAAGCATGGATGCAATTCGAAATTCTGTGTGTAAAAATGTGAAAATCTGGTGTAAGAAATACCCAATTCCGATATGTGTTCTATTTTCATTCTTCTTTTCGTACACGTTCTTCCCTTCCATTTTCACTTTTCTGATCTACTCGTCTCCCCTTGTTGGATTATCGTTTCTTGTTCATAGAGTTTTTTTGGGTATTGATCGTCGAAAGGTTAAACGGAATAAACAGATCAAACAGGTTGAAGACGATGATAGAAGGAAGAAGTTTGCTAAGTCTCGAAGGAGTTTCAAGTCTCGCAGGAGTTTCAAGTCGAATTACGGTGATCGCAGTCAACTTGTTCGACGAAATGCCAAAGACACCAGTGAAGGTTTTTCTGATACGAATGTTGAGGAGAAGAAATATGCTGTTGTCTCAAAGAGTTTTCATGATCTTTTGGTCGATAAGACTGCGTTGATTGAGGAAAAGCCGAAAGAGATACGACAAGTGAACTTTGAATCCGTTATTGGTAGAGGTGAGTGTTCATCCTCAAACGTTTCCCGTTCTTTGAGGCCTGAAATTTATGGTAATGATAAGGATGAATTGGAAGGCATTAGCATGGAAATCTCTGAAGATGACGACGATGAGCCAAGAGATAAAGCGGTTCGATGGACAGAAGATGATCAAAAGAATGTAATGGATCTCGGGCTTTTGGAAACCGAAAGAAACAAGAGGTTGGAGAGTCTGATGGAGAAAAGAAGATCAAGAAAAAATCTGGGTTTTCAGGATAAAGTAACTGAAAATCCCAGCAATGGTCAGGTTTCCGCCATTAGAATCACCAGAATAAACCCATTTCTTGAAGACAATTCACGCGGTATGAACACTCCTGGTTCGGCCCCGTCTTCTTTTTTATCAATACGCAATCCTTTTGATCTTCCTTACGATCCCCACGAAGAAAAACCGGATCTTTCTGGAGATAATTTCCACGAAGAATTCACAGTCGTTCACCACAAAGAACCCATCTTTTGTAGGCATCAAAGCTTCAGGTTAGGTGCTTTTACACATCCACATCCAGAACTCGCACATGATAAACACGAAATATCCTTTTACAAAGATCTTGCTATGAATCACAAGACTTTCATGGGACTTGGTAATTATCAAAAAGAAGGTGAATCATCCTCTGAACAAGAGGCGGACGCTATCCATCAAGAAGATGAAACCGAAAGAAACACAAAAGAACTTGAAGAGCAAAGTGATGATTCGTATGTCGAACGAAAAGCTGATATTATTTTCTTTTATGGGGGCGATAACAAAGTAGGCCATGCTCCAAGCAACTCCATTGTTTCTGATTTGCAGGTCGAGGTTTCAGATGAAGAATCTTGCCCTTGCCCAGATGATTTGGACGTAGAAAAAGATCATACCAATTCTTTATTGGGTATCAAGATGGACGAACATTATGCAGGTCAAGAAAACAACCCTGGCATTTCATCATACAGTTTGGATGCAGCTCATCAATCTCCAGTATCAACCCGTGAAAAGGATGGATCGCTACCAGATCAAAAAACCCAAGACAAACAATGTGTTTTTGAACAAATTCATCACTCTGAACCCTCATCATCAACCGATCATGGGATGGAAAACAGCCCACAATTGTTGAACTCAGCTACAGTAGAAAGCAGCAATCACTTACACGAATCATCTGGGGGTAATCAGAGATCTGTGGATGAGGCTGGACCAGCAGGTTTGACAGAAGTGGTGGCTTCCGTTGGTTCAAGTTCTCCGATATCCGTCTTGCAGCCGATGTTTTCAACCGATCAGGCTTCGCCATATTACTTCGCGAATGACGTACAGCAGCAGCAGCAGCAATCGGGTGATCGCAATGGGTTGCATCAGATGAACAATTCAGAGGGAAATCAATTGAATGAGAGAGATCCATGATGTTAGATTCATATTCACAACTTCAAGAGCTTGAACTGGTGGTTGTTTCTTTATCTTCAAGAACTTTAATTGGGAATAGAAAGAGGGACAAAGAGTATGAAAAATTGGACACAAAGTTAAAAGCATCACTTGTAGACATATTTTCCCAGAGATAGTTATAATTTTGGAATAGAAATTTGAGTTTCTATGCTTACGTTTAATGTTAACATATCGTCCGGTTTATCTGTCCTAGCCGCAGAGGTGTAACTCAGTCCCGGTTCAAGCTCGGGCACCACTTCTTTGTATGTTGGCTCTGATTTACCTCCCTCATGATAATCGTGAGACTGGTGCAGTTGGGTTGGGTGCCTCAAAAGATGGTATCTACCGTTCTTTTATGTTTAATGTTAACGTCATTTGGAATGTAAACTTGTATTTTTAATGACTAAAATGCCTTTAAATATGTTTCGTAGCCTTCTCCTCTCTTTTTCGAGGCACGGGATGTTCACCCATGAAAACACCAATAGCTCGTCCATTAAAGTTACACTCTACTCCAAATGGGAAACCAGTTGATGTAACCAATTACATTGGAAAAACACTATCCCAAGTTGTCAATTAATTGGTAGAAAACTTGTAAGTTGGTCAAACAAGAAAAAGAACTTAGGGGCCGTTTACCAAATATTAACTCGGTAAGTGTTTATCAATAAAATTTAACACTATTATTTACTTACTTGGTACGATTTTAGTCCACTAAAACGACATCGCATGCAACAATTTACCCAGTAAGTGCTTACCATGGTAAGAGTCGTCGCCCTAACTTACCGGATAAGACTCTTGGTCGTTGTCTCGCTCTTTCCCGGTAGGATTTTTGGTCCTTACCATATTTATACGGTGAGGTAACATGACTTGGTAAGCATTTACCTGAGTAAGCATTTGATAAACGGCCCCTTAGTCTCAACCTCCACAGTTGAAGTTGACTACGGCCCCTTAGTCTCAACCTCCACAGTTGAAGTTGACTACGGCCCCTTAGTCTCAACCTCCACAGTTGAAGTTGACTATGTAGTTGATTGAAGCTGTAAAGCTCAAATTTTAAGGATGAAAAATAGGGGTGTTCGTGGTCTGGTTTGAGCGGTTTAACCCTTCAAACTACAAACCAAACCGCAGTGGCAGTTTAGAAAAAATTTCAAACTGAAGAATTTGGTAGCAAGTAACCAAACCGGTTAAACTAGACTACAAAAAGGCGGTCTGATCTGACCGATTTAGACGGGTTGAGCCTCTTATGAGATTTAAACTAAGAAACATTAACATTTATATCCAAAATGGAATCTCTACCAATATACCATTGCTAAAAATAGTATACTGAATTATAAAAATAAACGTCTTTCTAAAATTAAAAAAACATCGATCAAATTGAAAAAAGTAAAACAAGTCTATCAACAATAGTATTTGACAAATATTTAGCAAGTTGAAGAACGATTTGGAAATTTGGATTTGATTTTGAAGCATTTCTGTAATGCCCTCATTTTTTTAGAAACGTTATGTAATCTAAAAGGAATTCCTAAATAAATACTCCAAAAAAGATGGCTAAATTAAAATTGTTTAGACCGTTTACAGCGAAAGTCTTTGAATCAACTAAAAATTAACTTCAGTTCTAACCCGCTTCATACCAAGTTAAGTTACAAAAGATCGACACACAACTGTCTAGACAAAAAAGACTAAACATAAAATGATAATAGACAACTCTCTAACATAGGATGCACATGGCATCAAAGCCTAAAGGGACATCAAGTTGTCATTTATTATTACTAGTTTTGGTTTTAATAATTTGGGAATTGGACAACTGAGCTTTAACTATAAAAATATGTCACAGACTTAGTAGTGCACATCGTTGGAAAAAGTTGGAAAAGTTTTTGTTTGTATAAAGTTGTTTGTATGCCTTAACCTGTTTGTATAAATTGGAAAAGTTTTTGTTTAGAATAGTTTTTTTTGCATATGTAAGGAGCGTTTTTTTAGTTGGAAGGGACATGGTTAGAGAAAAATTGGTTTTCTACATAAAGCTCCTCCTAGAAGTTTACTGGATAAGTCACTTTCTATATGATTAAGTCACTAGGAAACAATCATGCATGTATTTCTTTTGATGCATTATATGCACGTCTCTTTTTCCGATTGCTTGCTTGATTTAAACATCCATGGTACTTAATTTTTAACATCGGTGTAGCTTAAAGTGGTCAATTCTTACACTTTCGATTGTTATTCACGCATAAATGTTTTGACAGCTGACATGCCATATGACCATAGATTCAATCTCGAGAGGGACGGAGAATGGACCAAAACATGAAACAATAGTGTCATTTCGAGTGCTCGATTTATGAACCGATGTTCACACAGCAACGCGCACGGGTACATAATGTTGTATAAATGTTTTTACGCATGTTGAATGATATGTATTTTACATGCAGTGGCGGATCTAGAAATTTACGATGCTAGGGGCCTTCAGGGTATAAAAAATTGAAACCGAATAAGGTAACTTTCGGTTTCGATTCTTTTTAAACTTATATGAATTCCTTTTAGATGAATTGGTTTGAACATATATAACATTAATATTAGGTGAATTGATTTATTTTAAACTAATAACAAGAAATTGAGATATATTTAACAAGACCATCAAACATCGTTATCATGGTACCATGATTACAAGAACTAGCGGTAACAAAACAATCGATCTGCCCGGGGAACGAATGTCAAGCGAGGGAGTGGGGGGTTTTATCAAAACGGATTGGCCCACCGGGAACCGTCATAAAAGAATCAGGAACGTAAAGACATAAGAGTTAAAAGAAATAAATTATTAACGAGATTATATAAATAAAAATTAACATTTGAGTTAGGGTTTTTCTTCCTACACCTATGCATGTAGATTTGCCACTGTTTACATCAGGGATGGATCCAGAATTTTTTTTTAAATGGTGGCACCATTTGACTATAAGTAAAAAACTATGGCGAAAAAATTTCAAACAATGGCACCGGTTGACTATAAGAAACAAATATACGGAATTTTTTCAATTGGTGACACTATTTGACTAAGAAAATGACACAAACAAGATTTGAATTTGGATCTGGAGTGGAATAAAAGCCTTGCAAACCAACTCTACCAAATAAAACTTGTTCTCATTGTAGTTTCAAAATACATACGGTGGCACACAACAAATTAATACGGTTGCACCTTTCACGAACCTAAATTTTTTTACCCTTCGAAAGAGAAATAATACGGTGGCACGTGCCACCGTAACCACCATGGTAGGTCCGCCCATGGTTTACATGTGTTGTATGAAAAGATATGTGCATGTGAAACTATGTTCAACACAAAGCATTAACTTGACGAGTATATGACTCGATGCGATAAGCCTGAACAAGAGTTGATGGCTTGATGCGACAAAGCCTAAAATGAACAAGATGCGATGGTCGACAATTGGAATGACCAAGTGACCAGGGAAGGGGAAGGGAAACTAACAAGAGTCCATAGACAACAATAGGGAGGAGGAAGGCAGAGCCGGACCCAAGAATTTTTTGATACAGTGACACCATATAAAACAGTTGTACCTTCTAGAATAAAACGGCTGCACATTTCACGAAACTGATTTTTTTTACCATACCACAGAGGAACAATACGGTGGCACGTGCCACCTAACCACCCCTCTAGGTCCGTCTATGGAGGGAGGAAAGAGTCGAGATTATTTCAGATAATCAAAAATCTTATAATATGGGATTTCTTAGATGATGAGGTTGGATCAGTTTCACGTGGGACCGATCCAATTAAGACCAAATATGATTGAGTTGTACTTTTCCCATTTTTAAGAGTTGAAACTAGTTCATTTATTAAATAATTAAAGCATTAAAATCATGGTTACTCCTACTTGCATTTGTGCAACATCAACTTGATCATCTACTAGCTTTCAAAGTGCTTGCTAATCTACTTCAAATACTATATTGTATATAACCTTCATCAATCAATCAATTTGATGATCTTTAAAAAATAAGTGATTGAAATCAAATGAAATGATATCTGTATACCTAACAAAGGAAGAAAAAGTCATGGAGTCTCTGGTTTTGTTATGTAACTTTATGTATAAATAATCAGACAAAGAGACCCCATTAGAAAGTGCTGCTGCTTCTTCTCAATCTTCTTTCTTTTTGTTTGTAAAACCCTAAAACAACACAACTCCAATCGATCCAATTCCACCCCTCTATTTATCTCTTTCAATCGATCAATCCTAGTTTCTGTTCGTAAAATCCCATGATCTTCTGATAAATCATTGGGTTTTTTTTTTCAATTTCAATCATTTTCTTGAAAACAGCCCCATTTTTCAAGATCGTTGGGTGCAGAAGCTTGTTTAACGATCTGGGAATTTTGATTTTGGGGAAAAAGAAGTGAAGAAATTGGTAAGGCTGGCGGGTGATGACGGATCCGCCAGGTGTCCGCCAAGATTTCTTGTTCTTGGAGTTTTCATCGTCACTGTTTATTGAATCAAGATTAGGGTTTGTTGAGGATTGTAATTATTGTTGTGATTAAAGTGATGCTTAGCGTGCTGAGAGTGCACCTTCCGTCAGATATTCCGATTGTGGGCTGTGAACTTTTGCCCTATGTTCTTCTACGACATCCTGATAAGTCTGTTTCTTCCGAGGACGTCCGTGAGTCCTCACCCATTGAAGGTCATATCTTGAGATACAAGTGGTTAGTGATCATCTGCTATCTGTGTCATATTCCTTGATGATTTCTCTTTGACTTGATTGATTCATGTGGAAAATGTTACAATTTAGTGTGAATCGTTGTTGTTTAATGAAGTTGGTGTTTGATGTAAAGCTTTATTAAGACGAAGGATTGAGTGAGAAGGAGAGTTAGTGAGAAGTGTAAGAATGATCTGGACCATTAATTGATCATCTTTATATCTCAAATTCATCCATGAATTGCGCTTTGGTACAGGGATTGATCTGGTGCAGTTCATCCTAATGTGCATCTAAGGGTGGAGATCGTTTCTTAAGCTTCTCACTTTTAACTCTTTTCCTCACCAGAACCCAACTTGCGCTTCATTAATTGGTTGATCACAAATAGAGGTGCAAGAAGTACAAGTGATGTTTATATTGTTTATATACGGCAAATTAAACTCACAAACACTTAACACCTTTGGTGGGACTTGAACCCCTAAATGGGAGGAAGGTGGGTTACCGGGTATAGCTAGGCAAATGGCCCTTTGGTCTTTTTTTGTCAATTATGCCTCTTACATTGTGATATAGCTTATCTGCTAATCTTTACCAAACATGACTAGTTTATCAGCTAACAACTAACATATTAACCAACAACTAGCTTATCAGATAGTTTGCCAAACATAGCATAGTATTTAAGGAAGTTAATGCATGTGATTACACAGGTCTATAGAAACAAGATCTGCTCTTGGTCTAGCCAATGCCACTAAACCAACACCTTACGGTTTGCTGCCTTGTAGCTCGTTATAGATTAAAGTAATCATAAGAGTCGATCGGGGTTTTCTGATCACATAATGCTATCTTAAACAACAATGAATGTTTGAATTGAAGGGCAGTTTTCGATGCTCAAATGCCATGCTCTCTTGTTTTTGGTTCGCTTATGGTGCAAATTGCTTTGTTTGCTATGTGTGGTATTGCTTGCTTACTTTTCTCATGCTTCGTTCACCTTATGCTAATCTTTATTACTCGTACTATTGCACAATCTGGGGTCTTTGTGGAAACAACCGTTCTACTCTTTGAGATAGAGGTCAGGTGAAGGTCTACGTACACCTCACCCACCAAACCCTACTTTTAAGTGGGATTTTTACTGTGCCCGTTTGGTTTGATTTGGTTTAATTGATTGTTGGCAAGAACTCATCTGTTGGTTTTATATCAAAATAGAAATCTTTGCTTATGTTAGAAATTAAGATCACTTTTTATCTATAGATTATGATGTTCAATGTATGACTATTTCAAAGATTAGAATCTCTTGCAATTTACCTTTAGTAGATGATGACAAATGGATCCATCAAGGAAGTCATTTCATCTGATATTCTGTACTAAATTCTCAAATCTACCCTTAGTTAATGCACAAATCTTTAAGAGTCGTGAAGAGAAAGAAATTAATCAAGGGTAAATTTGTCATTTGACTAACTAAAACGTGTAATAATTATACAGGCCTAAAATATTGTGCCATTTCTACTGTGTACACTTATTTTAGGATGAAGAGAGTATGAAAAAACTTAAGATGTCGTATCTAAATTATCTATACTATACGACATAATACCGCATAAATTTACCATCCTCGTTTTACAATAAAATCTTGCATCCCGCTGCATTGCATGAGTACACAACTAGTGAAACTTAATACGTAGTATCCATATCACAAACATTTTCCCTTATTTGTGCGGCTTTGCAGGTATCGTGTACAAAGCGATAAGAAAGTTACTATCTGTAGCATCCATCCATCCGAACAAGCGACTTTGCAATGCTTGGGATGCGTTAAAGCCAAAATACCTATCACCAAAAGCTACCATTGCTCTCCGAAATGTTTTTCTGACGCATGGCAACACCATCGTGTTCTTCACGAGCGTGCCGCCAGTGCCGTTAACGAAAATGGAAATGAGGAAGAAGAGATATTTGGCCGATTTACTAATGCAACAGCTGGGGTGAATACTACGACCTTATCTGCTTTGCAAGCTGCGACTCCTTTACATCCAATCGCACTTAAAAATGGCGGTGAAACTTGGTTTGAAGTCGGCTATGCTAAAACATATACACCTACAGCCGATGATATTGGGCATATTCTTAAGTTTGAGTGTGTGGTGATAGATTTAGGAACAAAAACTCCTGTTGGAAATCCAAACACGATCCTTACGGCTCGTGTTATTCCGGCCCCAACCCCGAGTCCAAGGCGGCTGATATCCGTTAGCAATCTTGATGGGTCGGGAAATTTGGATTTGGATTTGGATGGGCGTTTTTCGTCTGTGGGAAGTTTTACTGTGCTATCATATAACATATTATCCGACTCGTATGCTACCAGTGATTTATATAGTTATTGTCCTTCATGGGCGCTCTCTTGGCCTTACCGCAGACAGAATTTATTACGAGAAATTGTTGGATATCGGGCGGACATTGTTTGTCTTCAAGAGGTATTTTTCCATCATTAACTTTACTATTTCTAACGGATGGTGCATCCGGCATTATACATATATGTATCTATGCACACACACACAGAGATCTAGTTGCATATACATATATCGACTATATAAACATACGTACATACACTCACATATATCATTTTAATTTCTTTTCAGGTTCAAGATGATCATTTTGAGGAATTTTTTGCCCCAGAGCTAGACAAACATGGCTATCAGGCTCTATATAAGAGGAAGACTGCTGAGGTTTGTTTGATGAACCTTTCCTCATTTCAATTTCGGTTCATTATGGTGCGTTTGGTATTCAGACAGAACAAAAAACTGTTAATTTGCTGTTCTACGTTTGGCGCGATATCAGACTGGGACAGGACATGACTGAGGAGGACAAAAATGCGCCAAAATAGGTGGAAACAAAAACCAGGGAGATGGTACAAGATTGATAAATTACTAAAATTACCAATGTCAAATTTAAAAACCTAAAAGTTTCTACAATTATATCATCTGCGTACCTCACTCTTGCTCGTCCAGTACTGCCTAGTCCCGTCTCATCTGCTTACCAAATGCATGCTTAAGGTTTTCTCATTGATAGTCCTCATTGATGTTATGTGCAGGTTATCAATGGCAGTATTATGACGATTGATGGATGTGCCACGTTCTTCCGCAGAGATAGATTTTCACACGTCAAAAAATATGAGGTATGGAAGTTTCCGGATTTAGATGGTGGTTTAGTACCTCCGTCTTTCTGACAGGATATAAGGCTGCATGTGCAGGTTGAGTTCAATAAAGCTGCACAATCTTTAACTGATGCTCTGGTTCCTAATGCACAGAAGAAAACAGCATTAAACCGATTGGTTAAGGCACGATCACTAACCTCTCTCCTTTATTCTCTGTGGGGTAGAGGTGAGGTTTACGTATATCATACCCTCCATAGACCCTACCTCCGAGTGGGATATATTGGGCTCGTTTGGTTTGGTTTGGTTTGGTTTGCTTAATGTGTCGGTTCTTATGATATAACCTTGTGGCTTCTAATAGGATAACGTTGCACTGATTGTTGTTCTAGAAGCCAAGTTCAGTAATCACGGTGTTGATGCTTTAGGAAACAGACAACTTGTTTGTGTGGTAAGATAGACCGTTAATTCTCTTCTTTTTTTTTTTTGTGGAGTTCTACTACTAACGACGCAGCATCGAAGCATTTCAAAGTTGACTATCATTTGTGTTTGGAGTGTAGGCAAATTCACATGTGAATGTTCATCAAGATCTAAAGGATGTGAAGCTATGGCAGGTTCTTTTTGACCCAATATCTTGTTGTAGCATTTGCATTTGAAAGAAGAAGGAAAAAAGTAACAGTTTTCTGAATATTTTAGGTTCATACTCTGCTTAAAGGATTGGAAAAGATAGCTGCAAGTGCAAATATACCAATGTTGGTCTGTGGGGATTTCAATGCAGTTCCCGGAAGGTTGGTGAAAATAATGTCCACAATGAAAAAGTCACACGGTTTTAGAAACTCGTAATTGTTACACTTTTTAATCAACTAAAAGACAGTTTTACCCTTCGGAAGGGTAGAATTGGAAAGTAGACACTTATTATTGCTAATGAGCTCGAATTTGGTGACATTTGACTATATGAACTTGTTTGCAGTGCCCCTCATGCACTCCTTGCATTCGGGAGAGTTGATCCATTGCATCCGGATTTAGCAGTAGACCCTCTTGGAATTTTGCGACCTGCAACCAAACTGACTCACGCTCTTCCGTTGGTACGACAACATAAATACTTGGCTGGCTATTGCTGCTTAGAAAAAAATGATAAATTTCAAATCTGAAGCCATTAATGGTGTTTTTGAAGGTTAGTGCATATTCATCCTTCGCAAGAATAGGAGTTGGTCTTGGTTACGATCAACAGAAGAGGAGAGTGGATCCTGCTACGAATGAACCCTTGTTTACAAACTGCACACGAGATTTCATTGGTACCCTTGATTACATATTTTACTCAGGTATATGTATATCCGTTATCATCTTCTATTCTAATCGTACCCCACAAATGCTTTCTTCTTCCTCAAGAACCACAAAGGCCGTGTCTCGCAACCATAAGCTAGCCTTTTGGAAAAACTACTTCAAATAGCTTATTGGGGATTTTAATTTCACTTTTTTCTTTTTCCAATTATACCCCTTATATTTGCCTTTTGGGTCTTTTTGCATTGACATATATCTTATAAGTTAGTATTTACCAAACATAACTGGTTTATCAGCTAGCTTTTCAACCAACAGCTAACTTATCAGCTAGTTTGCCAAACAACGCCAATATGTATGTGACGATTTTGGTGGTAAGTGTGAAAGTTACTTATGTGGTTTCAGCGGACAGCTTAACTGTGGAATCATTGTTGGAGCTTCTTGATGAGGATAGCTTGAGGAAAGATACAGCACTTCCTTCTCCGGAATGGTCCTCTGACCATATTGCACTTTTGGCTGAATTTCGCTGCAAGCCACGTACTAGACGTTGATCCATTATAGGCGAGTATCTTATCTATACTATATTATAAAGCATTTTACAAAAACTCTTAAAAACCATTTTTTATGCATGAAGTACTGTTTATTGATGGATATTACTTAAAATTCAAGACAAAAAAATAAAATGAAACATTAAAATGAATATGTATCTCGCTGCATTATGTGAGTACCTTCTAGTCTCCTTTAAAGATTGCTTATCTGATTTGAACACTACTTGAAGAAACAAAAATGCTTTGGGAAAACCATGGGTGTATGGGCCAGCTTGTGCACACCTTTGACTTATCTAATATTTTAATGGGACCATGAACGGATTTGAACCAGTGACCTATGGAAATGAAGCCCAAAGCTTTACCATTTACTTATTAGGTATGAATTGATATAACAATCATGCATCTTGATTGCAGGGCATGGTCATAAAATGGAAGTTTGAAGATGCAAACAAGTAAAAATTGTAATACAAGTGGGTCCATCGATGATCTACTTTCGATGTTATCAGATTAGTTTTGTTTCTTGTTTCTTGTTTTTGTTTCCGATAGAAGTATAATTTCAGCAGCACCTCAGGTACAGTACAAAGATGGTTTACATAGGAATCAGGAGTAGTTCAAGGGTTTTTTTTTCTGTTCTTTTTCGTGTTTTCACATAGTCTGGTGTTAGAGGCAAGGGGCGGGGGCAGGGGCGAGCGGTGGCGTGTGGAGTTTGGTTGTATGATCTCTATGCTCTTTGTCATTAGCATCTCTATGAAGTTTATGGGTTTGGAATCATGTTACTAATTGCTATCTATTGCCAAGTTACAAGGTGGCGAACTCGTTGCAACTCTCTTGTTCAAGTACCAAATGATTTTTGACCAACTGTTGATTGCTCGTTGTTCAGTAGTTTTATAACTAAAAGCCACATATAACCATTAAATGTTGATTGCTCGTTCTCTAAGCGTAATCGAAGTAGACATGTAGAAGGCCTTGGCTTTTTTGGGCCTAGATCCACGCATTCCATGCCTGTTTTCGGTAAGCAAAAAAAGAGCCGTGTCTTTTTAGGTCGGGCTTTTTCATCCTCAGATTTCTCGGGCTTTTAGACAGCCTGAATTTGGGGCTTTTTTTTGCATCTCTAGTTCCAAGCACTTAAAAAGCAGTATCTGAGAAAATATCACTAGATGTCAGCTCAAGTACAACAACCAAATTAGGCACCCTTTTGGATGTATACAAATTACAAAGTGTTCAACGAACTATGAAGAAGAAATTATGTGGTTCAATGTAATTAGCCAAGAAAAAGTAATTTGGACTTGCTGGGGAGTAGAAGATAATGGGTAAAATGTCTATCAATCTTGCAAATTTTAAGCAGGATTCAGCACATAATCCGTACCTTGAAGAAATATGATTATGATGCATGTTTTTGAGGGAACCGTATATATTAACTGTGAACTTTGAAGCACCGCAGATATGGGAATAGTTGAAGAAGGTCTTCACGGCTACGTTTCTACAAAGTGTACAAACATTAATGGACGGTATTTCAAAACATTTCTTTATGAGGATCACTAATTACTTCAAAAAATAACACTCGAAGAAAGAAGGGAGTTCCAACATATATTAAGGAGAAAGAGTGCAAGTCTAGCTAATACGAGACTCCACTTTAGCATAGGCTAGATGGGTTGCCCCAAAGTGTCAACGGTAGACATTGGCTCTGATTCCAATACGAGTATACGTGGAACTTCATTAAATTACTCACCAAAATAGCTCTTGAAAATGTAGGGTTTCACCATTAATGGAGGAGAAAGGATTCAGGTTTAATCGACGATGTGAGACTCCAAACACTTTACAATCCATCATCCCTTTAAAAATTGTGACAATTACCTTTCTTGGGCTTTGCATGAAAATTTTGTTTCTTTTTTCCGTTTTTTAGATAGTTTACAAGTTAGTATTACCTTTTTGCCTACTGTCATCATTGCAAGTAAATTGGCTGGTATTGATTTGGGTTTACAAGATTCCTTTATTTGTTTTTATTGAAGAACATTTTAGATATTTGAAAAAAAAAAGTCGAGAACTTTACACTTGTGTCAAGTCAAATGTTACATACCTTGATGCCAATACATCCATTTACATCAAGTGTTGTGATTGTGTTTGAGCAGAATTCAGAGAGGGCCTCTAGGCACTTATCAGTAACCCCAACGATTCCAAACAAGCTGCATAGTTTTCAACTATCAATAAAGGAAACCACGAAATAGAGCATAACAATTTCCCCATGATCACTGCCCATAAAAGATATAAATCCTCAAAAAAACAGTACCCAGATAAACCAAACCAAACGAAACGAACCCACTATATCCCACTTGGAGATAGGGTCTGGGGAGGGTAAATGTGTCCAGATCTAACCTCTATCCCAAATAGCAGAGAGGAAAACTGTACCCAGATGAGAACTGTATATGCAACAGGTAAGGATTGTGAGTGTATCGATTTACCTAAGATATTCAAGAGAGGTGCAACCTTGGGCGATGGCTATGACACCCGCATCAGTGACACGTACACACCTTTCAGAAAGATTTAATACAGCATTAAAACGATAAATATGATCCATATTTTGAGATTATGGAAAACCTATAGATTACCATGTCAAATTGAGAGTACGAATGCTTTTGCATTTGGCTATAGAGAAAAGCCCTTCATCAGATAGATTCTGTAACCAAAAAATGCAAGCATAAATTTATGTCCCAGAGAATCATAAGCTAAGCTCATCAGGTAAGACAATCATATACCTGGGCACCACAGAGATCTAAGAATCTGAGATGGCCCAAAAGCGACAGTTTCTTATAAGCTCCATCTGTGAAGCTAAACAAAATAAAGAACTCTTCATAAGTCAGATCGTCCCAACAAGACACAATTGAGACTATATTTCAGTTTAATCAACACAATTACTGTTCTATAACAAGTAAATTTCCTTGCATATACAGAACTGGAACATCAACCCCACCCCACCCCACCCCAAACCAAACGAAACGAACTCAGTATATCCCACTCGAAAGTAGGGTCTGGGAGGAGTAGGATGTACGCAGACCTTACCTCAACCCCAAGGATCGAGCGAACAGGTAATCAGAAAATATAACAGGTAGAATAACAATTCAATTGTGTGTGCACGAGTCAATCATGTGCAAGCACACAATGAAGACAAAACATGTAATACAAGCAGAACTGACTTAAACATGTAGGCATGATCAGCAAGAAAGTCGGGTCAGGTCTTATCATGCCCAGTTATCCCACAAGGAGCCTATTTGGCTATTCTCTTCCCTCAGCTCAATACCCTTGTCGACACCCTTTACCAGATCCTACTAAAAGTCGGCCCCTCTAGTCCTATGCCTCCTAGAACTCCTATCATAGATCATGTCCTCCAAGAACATCACCACCCCCTACCCCCCCCCCCCCAAAATAAAATAAAAAAATAAAATAAAAGAACGATGCAGATATAAATGTCTGGACCATGTAAAGGGAAGGTGCTGACCATCTGGTTTATTAGCTTAGTGCAACCATCATTATGATTAGCATGGTAGGTAGGCATGAAACATGAGGTGATAAAGGGAAAGGTGAATACTCGGCCCCTTCCTTCCCTGTGCATTAGATCCCCCCATGGTAGATGGTTCAGCCATGCCGGTTCCATAGTATACTCTTCCACTACAGATGCTGAAAACCCAATCCTTCCCAGGCTTTTCTCGTATCCCTGGCCACTTCAGATGAAAATCTTTATTCTGCTTTACAGATCTATTCAATTTTAATTCAAGTTTAGAAGCTGGTAATCCAAGCTATCTTGGAGTCTTCTTCTTGAAGAAAAAAAGGCCCCCGCGAAAGTAAAAAAACCACAGCTGCTCTACCAAGCAACCAATTACCAGCCTAAAACATAGCCGTTCAATATCTTTGACTTTTCAATAAGGAGCGTGTCTCTGTCAAGTGTCAAATAAGCTATGATACTCTTTTTCTTTATCTCTCCTCTATGGAAAGAAAGAGGGGATGAGAGGTTCCTTGCCATGCTCCATGCACAGAAACGATATCGAACATCAAGCGAGTCTCGTGTGTGATAAGTCTTATAGGGTATAGTTCCCTTCCTGGTCTAGGTTAGGGCTCCATTCTTTGGTGTTTGTTACAAAAACACCCACGAACAAAAAGAAAAAAATTGCTTCAATCATGGAAAGACTTGCCAGACCATGCACCATGACGTATATTTGACCTTATTTCTTGTCTTCTTTTTGTTTCTTCTAAAGGTTTTCCCTCGTGACAGTTCCTACGGATGCTTACTTACAGTTCTCAGCACATACGTGTCTTTAACTTTTTTATTGCAATTTTTACAACCGTGTCCTTGTTCAAGACTAATTCCAGATAACTATTATTATACAAGCTAGCATATTCTTTTCAATAATTTCTTTCTTACCATTTTTATTTTCCCTCACCATTAGCATTAGGGTTGATATCCACAATATTAGGTAATGGCTTTTTTAAAGATTGAAGTCACATGCCCAAATCATCCAAGTGATTATCTGCTTGTCCATCTTTTATGCTCTCATAATAGATTCATACTAGGTTTGATTCTCTAGTGGCCTGATTTTTTGACAGGTAGTTTTACCTATTTTAACACAACATGCTCATCTAAATCACGCTAAATTAGCATTCTCTGACATGAGATGGGAGTAAAAGAACTGTACATGCCCAAATATACTTATTAACGTGTGCCCAGTGTTGGGAACACAATGTTCTTCTGGGTCTGGGATGTTTATATATAGTTGATTCAACAGCTTTGAAGAATGGAAATTCTACAAGGTACCTTGAAAGTGCATAGAGATTTAGACTCTTAAGACCAGAGCACTTGACCATTATATGTTGCAAGCCCCCGTCTGTTATCTTGATGCACCTACATAATCAAATCCACAAGTTGAATTTTTTTGGAAATTGACAATTTTCCGACATATAGAAAATACCATATGCTTTGAGAAAGTTGAACCAACCAAAACCTTTTCTTTTACTTTAAAGTCAGACTGAAAAACTTGGCTAAACAAGCCTACAATACAAGAGATACTTATTCTTCTTGGATAAAAAGATACAATCATTTTATTGATCAAAGCTTCAATGATTGACAGCCAACTGGAAATGATATTTGTCATCTCACCTTGGTGGTTTTCAGTTAAGCAAAACTTTTTGAAGGTAAAGAACAAAGCCAAATATGAAGGAAAATGTCTTAATATGAGTAGCAATGATCCTGTGAGATCCAGGAAGCCATCAAAAGGTGCATATTTTTCAAGAGTCTTATGTTAAGATACCTGTCTTAAGGCAACCTCTTTTAGAATACATGCTAATACATCAAAATATCATACCGAGTAATATCCAATGACTCCAGATGTTGATAATTCTCGGCAATCATTTGCAAACTTTTATCTGATATACCCTGTTAGCTCACACCAATGCATTTTATCAGAAAATATATCCATCCAAATATTTCAAGTATGAGACAAGTATGCTGATAAAATATTTTATCCTCAAGTCTCTTCAATCATGCGCTCTATATCTCCAAATTAGAAAGTATGTTGATGCAAAAATCTCCCGAAATGTTTCAGATAAGACCTTTCTCTTGCCATCTCATAAAGTTTAACCTGAGCCTACAATCTGTATTGGAACATCAGCAGAAACCAGTAAATAGGATTCCAACGATATAGTTTAAAGACACGTCTCTCATTTTTCTCTTGTCTACACTATTTCAGCCCACCTTGTAGAGCAATAATATATTCCATGATGAACTTACAAACTTACATCAGAAATAGGATGAAGCTCTAAGTCAAGGTACCGTTTATCATGTTATCTCACTATACTTCACATTATTCTTTCGTATGGTGAGCTCTTAACTTCTCACCTTACAAATGTCTTTAATAAGGACATTCTACCTAAACCACTAACTGAATCATTGTTATCCTTCCCTAAGTTCGACGCAGAAGACCTTAACCCCAAAAGTCTACAATGATAACTTTTAGCCTCCTTACCTAGCCAGGAAGCTATTTTGCTAAAAAAAACTTCAATGGTGTCAACTAAATATCAAGGCATCCAATAATTCCATAACCATAGTAACTGAAGCTCAACGTCGCAACATGCTGTCCTACAGAAGAGACTAAATCCAAGCTAGGGCTTTTTTTGTTTACTTAGGATGATCAATGAAAATATGGGAATAGAAAACTGCAGATAAAGACAAGAAGAGATAATGTACTAGAGGATAGCATTCGAACAAAAAGAAATCCAAATAAAAACTTAGATGTAAATACATTGCAAAATGATGGAATCATCCTCTATATCCAAAGCTCATCAACTTGGAGCATATACATCAAACATGCTGAACATTCATATGTAGAATAAACTTTTGCTTTCTTAAGGGGCTTCGTGAAAAATAACAGCTATATGATCTCCAAGAGATGCTTTTGCAGGACCTAGCTATCTCAATCCCATGAAGAAACATAAGGACTCAACTTTTATGTTGTCCAATTCCCTCTGAATGAATAAGAGTTCAATTTTCTACCAAATCACCCAGTGATCATAATATCATTAAATTTAGAGATCGAAGTAATGCTGAAATGGAGTGTGCGAAATGATTGAATATTATTTGAATTTCATTATAGTTTGTAAATATACAATATATATAGAAAGAACAGTATAATGGCTTATTCAGTTTACCTGAAGCCGAAAAGAAAAGGATGATCCCTAATCGGTGAACAGAACTATTTAACCAAACGAAAGGAACCGAGTATATTCCACCCAAAAGTAGGATCTTGGAGGGGTAAGATGTACGCAGACCTTACCTCAACCACTAGGATCGAGAGGTTGTTTCAGCGAAGACGCCCGACTTGTGCAACAGGTAATCAGGAAATATAACAAGTAAAATAATCCTTCAATTGTGTGTGCACAAATCAATGGTGTGCAAGCAGACAATGTAAACATGTAAGATGACTATTAAGAAACTCAGGCCAGGTCAAATCAGGCCCAGCTACCCCATACGAGGAGCCTATTTGCCTACTCTCTACCCTCCACTCAATACCCTTATCAATGCCTCACGCCCTCAACCACATCCTACTAAAAAGCGGCCACTCTAATGGTATGCCCCCAAGGACTCCTATCCAGAGGTCAACCGAACCATGTAACCAAATAACCTGAATTTTGTGGGTTATCCGGTTGCAGTTTCTGGTGGATTATTCGGTTTCGGTTTTTTACACCCCTACTTCAAGGTGGCATACATTGTGGGACCAACATAATGGCAGAGTTGTAGTGGTTTTTTGTTACAGTACAGCTAGGTTTGTGTCTAGAGTTGTGACTCAAATAACATGAAAAGATGGGACTTGAAAAGCACAAGCCTTCCATCAATCAAAGCATCAATAAGTAATGTACAAAGCATACCAAATTCCACCAACTAATGCTAAGCCCTAATGAGCATCTGGAAGTAAATGCACTCAGTAACACAATCATCCCTTAGTATCTTGTGATTCTATTATCTGCTATGATTAAAATGAAAATTTAAGTAACAACCAGGGTTAACGGCTGTTAACACATTGTAAAGGTCAATTAATACAAGGAGTTCCTAAGTGCCATATTCTCAGCGCAGTCACCGGTAACCAATTACCATCAAGTATATTCACTGTTAAACTTCATGCATCAAATAACCAAGTCAACTGCCAAGTTTGGTTCAAGAAACACTCATAACTGAAGATAGGATGTCGAAAACCATATGGTACAAAAGATGGAAAACAGAAACAAAGTTTTGGAGGGATGATAACACGAGCAGCTATTCAATGTACTTAAAAACCTACAGATCTTAGCATAAAAAAGAAAGTATGCAGGCAGGCTCTCATAATATACCTTACAGCCACTTAAGTTCAAATCAACAATATGTTTGCAGCTTTTAACCAGATATGATATGCCAACATCTGTGACCCTGAAGCAAAGTATAGCATCAGAAGGGATAACAATGAAATAGGATGAGAAAAAGGAAATCAGGTGAAAGTCTAAGTACCTTACATTCCAGTAGATGGAGAATATCTTCAAAGAAGGAGAGGTTGCAGTTATGGCCTCAATTCCCATATCAGAGACTTTTTGGCAGCCATTAAGATTTAAATGCTCCAGGTTTTGAAGGGAACCTGAAAACTGAAAGTTGCACATGTATCTTCATTTACAAATAACAATGTATAAGAAGTTACCAAAAGCTTCAGCAAAAAAATACACCAACCAGGTCATTAGGAGAGGGAGAGGTCTTCTAAGGTTAACTTAACAGAGATTGCATGAACAGATTAAACCAAAGGAATCGACCTTAGATAGGAATTGATGGAAAGACAACATTCATACCCTAGAAACCTAGGTAGTTGACCTCTTTATGTTTGTTGTTTCATCATGTTATGATTTGTTTTAGTCTTTTTCTAGTCTACCGCAGCTAGTTTGGGATGAAAGGCTTGTTATTGTTATTGGAAGATTATGCCTGTCATTTCCTCCTCAAAGCCAATCAGCTCTTGTGAAACAAGAACAGTTTCTGGTAATTTATATGTAGCACATAAAATCAATAATTGTTACCATTACAATTAGGAACTCACAAGATGTGTTTGATTGAAATCTTAATGCTTTGCCTCTTAAGAGTATATAATTTTAATATGCTAGCAGGATTCATGAATGAGCAGCATTAAGTATTGACATAATTCAGATGGTTACTTGAATGGGTGCCATGCATGAAACGGATATTGCTCATCCATTTCATTGATATTGACATGCTCAACATCTTTTTCGCTGATGCACATTTGAATAGAATGTGAAGCATTCGACATTTGATAAAGGGGCTGTTTGGTTGTTTTCTATTAAGCTCTATATGGATTAAGGTGTATTTATGGATAAAGTTGTAAGTATAGATAAACCTAAATTGGTGTTTGCTTATTGTGCTAAATAAACTGCTGAATGATTAAAATGACCAGTTTACGCTTACTATTTTTTTTTTCTCATTTAACCCAAATATAATTCATCTCTCTTGCCATTTTATCGAAAATCTTATATGCAATCGTTGTGTGATGATGATGTTGTATTGACATTGAACAAAAAACAAAAAAATTCCATTAAAAGTGAAGTAATTTCATCAAACACTTTCTCGATCATCAGAAAACAAAAAGAACTGCAAACATATTTAAAAGGTAGATCTTTATGTAATATACTAAAGAATCAATTGATCGAAGCGTTCATCACCCTTGTTCATTGGAGCCCTAAACATCGAACAACATATGATAATGAAGACTGAAAATTATGTGTTGCGTTGTTCCGGCTACTGGTAAAAGCATCTCCCGATTCCATTTTTTCTCATAAATCAAAGAGGGAAAAGTGAAGATAATTCTTGCAGGATAGGGTAAATTATGGTTTTTTGTTAAAAAGAACAACAAAAGGAAAATGGGTTTTTACAAGATTCTTGCAAGATAGGGGCAAACTGGAAAATGGGTCTTCTGTTGAAGATGATTCTTGCAGGACATGGGAAGCGATGTTTTTTGTTGAGAGAAGGAAGCATGATTTGAGAGGCGGGGTAGCACACTGGAAAATGGATAGCTTACCAGATAAAGCATACCCCCATGAGCTTAGCGAATAAGCCAACAACCGACAGATTAAGCTACTTCCAACATATATCATATATCTATGGCTTACCAAATAAGCTATACATGTTATTAATCCTGTTAAGCCACTTCCAAATAGCCCCTAGGTGTATCAGGAACAACAAGTATCTTTTTGGAAGATACAAACATATTACACAATCTGAAGTTTAGTACCAATTTCTCCCTATGAGATAGAGAGATACAAAACCATCAGCTGGCAAATACATATGTTGCATACTGTAAATAAAACCAACTCAGTGCTATTGACATGATGTACAGAAGTTGATGCTTTTGGGTAGCCACAGAACACAATGATCTCAACAGTATTTACCTGGTTCCTAAGAATGTCCAGATGTTTATCTTCAACATCTTGTGCAAACTCAAGGTTTATCTGTTTCACATGATGATATCTTGTCTGCAATACATACAAAGTTACATAATGAGAGAACAGAAACACAGTTTTGAACTTCCCAGATTGAGTAAAACTCCAATTACTGAGAAAAAGTTGAAGCTTTCCAATATATTCATAATCTGAACAAGCTTCGTTTCTATATGTCAAATATTCAATTCGATTTCCCAACATAATATCATTAGAATGGTAGAATGCCCGTAGCATTCGATCAAACTACTTGCTCCTTTCCTTAACAGAGTCCTAAAATAAGGAAATTTAAACCTCGTTCATGTTCATAGCGTCATAGTGATAGCCTCTGACAGGTGGAAACCTTAACACTAGCGAAGCAGGAAAAAGAATTCGAGGAAGGAGAATTAAAACAAACCAGCGCCAGGGCAGCTAACAGTCGATCTCCAGCATTAACCATCTCATGAAAATCAAGAACCTGATCAATTCAAACATTACACTAAAACCCCAAAATAAATACAACCTAATTTTCAAATTCTCCAATTAGGGTTATACTGTCGCTTTGGAAGTACGAAACGGGTGGAGGATAAAGTTACCAGCCATAGGGAAGGAGAGGAGACGAGAGTACGGTGGAGGGAAGAGGAGACGAGAAGGAGAGATATAAGGTCTCGTTGAGGAAGTTTAAGTCTGGTGCTTATAATCTTCATCACCTTCGGCATTGTTTCTCTGCTCCATACTTGCTGTAGCACCTCTGCGTGACTCTCCGCCATTTTCTTTCTTTTCTGCTTTCTTCTCTCCGTCTGATATTACACATTGGGAGACATACAAAAGTATAAAGTAGTTGGTTAAAATCGTAGGTTTTAAAAATACCAAATTGACTCAAAAATTATGAGATTCAACCCGGTTCGCAATTGCGACGACCAAGTCAGTACTACAGTCAGGTTCGGAATTGCAACGATACCATTTGCGTAGAATTTGAATCTTTTTAAGGTCCGTAATATTGCAGATGTGGATATTGTGAACGTAGTGATATTTGGATAAATCCGAGAGAAGAATGGCTAAAAGACCGATTTGAAAGAGTGGAATGTCTATTTGAGTTAATTTTATTAGGTTTTTTTAATAACCTAAAAACATAATCTCACAAATAAATTATTGCAATTTTTTGGGTAACCGTAGGTTTCTGGACCAGTTTATGCACACCGACTAATCCTCTGGACGATCACGAATAGCCTGGAGTCATCACAGATGAATCTCCATCTGGAGTCATCACAGATGAACCTCCATAACTACAAGGGATTTGATAGCATTTGACTTCGAAACCATTGCAACTTACGGACGCGCAATGGAATATATGGAAACACAACAAACTTAAATCTTTGAACAAGCCACTAAATACTAAACATATTCTTTTATATATACATATATATATATAAATACACTATATTATAAAACATTTGATAAAAACTCTTAAAAACCATTTTTTATATATAAAATACTGTTTATTAATGCATGTTACTTAAAACTCAAGATTACAATTTGAATTCGTGTAATTAGCTGCAGATAAACATAATCAAATACATGATAAACATCTTACTTTAAATATAAAAAATCAAAAATATAATTAGGATAATTATTGAGTTATAACAGAATACTTAATTATTATATTTATAAAATATTATATTATTAAACCAAAAATAAATTATTTCATTGTTAAACTTGAATTATTATATCTATACTATATTATAAAGCATTTGACAAAATTTCTTAAAAACCATTTTTATGCATGAAGTACTGTTTATTGATACATATTACTTAAAATTTAATATTACAAGTAAATTGTGCATAAATACAACTTATTAAAGWTTCATATTTGAATTCATGTAACTAACTGCAGATAAACATAATCAAATATTAGATAAACATCTCATTTTAAATATAAAAATCTAAAATATAATTAGAATAATCATTGATTTCTAACAAAATGGTTTAGTTATTATCTTTACAAAAATTTATATTATTAAACCTAAATTAAATTTCTTTGTTACTAAACTTAAATTAAATTATAATTAAAAAAAATAAATTAAGAAAATAAAAACATTATCGTTTTCTCAAAACCACATAAAACCGTATTATATCGACATAAAAAATGCATAAAATGAAGTACTAAAATCAAGATATATCTCGATGCATTGCACGAGTACTCTTCTATTATATATATATATATATATATATATATATATATATATATATAACACTCATAAGATTAAACTGTGTGACCTCCTTGCCCCTAAGATGCACGTTAGTAGTTATCTTATAATCTCGCATTTATATTCTGAAGATTGATTGCATGATTGAGAAATTAGTTGTACTTAACTTTTATAAATGACTAGTTGTGTATTCGTGCAATGCAACGGGATGTGAGATTCAAATAAGTATAAACATATATGTAAAATATAAACATGTTTTTTCAAAATAAAACACAGTGAGTTCCATCTCACGTAGAGTGTGAGAATTGGTGGGAAAAAAAGTGGTGTTATGGTTATGAAAAACATTTTTCCAAATAAATAATTATGTATTAGAGTTCAGATCTATACACTGAACCATAATCTTACAAAACAAAAATGAAATTAAATTGGGTGACAAACATAAATATATCTTTCTTGAATTTGGATTGCAAGTTGTTGAAAGAATGGTGAATGACATCGTCTTACACTTCATACTTGGCTTTTTCAAGTCCATGTTTTGTTCTTTATTGTATTCTTCTTATATCCCTCTAGTTTTACATTTTTGTGTTGTTTTCAATTATGATCAACCTATGACTTAGGGGTCGTTTACCAAACACTTACCCGTTAAGCATCTAGCAATAAAATTCAACACTATCATTTACTTACCGGGTAAGATTTTAGTCAACAAAAAACGGCTTTCTATGCAACAAAATTACCTGGTAAGAGCTGACCGTGGTAAGAGTAATTGTTCTCACTTACTGGGTAAGACTCTAGGTCCGTGTCTCGCTCTCACCGGGTAAGATTATAACACTTACCCAAGTAAGTGTAACTTGGTAAGCGCTTACCCAAGTAAGCAATTGGTAAATGTCCCCTTAAGGGGCCGTTTACTAAACACTTACCCGGTAAGTGTTGATCGGGTAACTTTCCTCACTTGATACACATGACAAAGGTTGAAAATCTTACCCGGTAAGAGCGATATAAGGATAAAGAGTCTTACCCGGTAAGTGATGGTGAGAACTCTTACCTGGGTAAGCGTTTACCGGGTAAATTGTTGCATATGATACCGTTTTAATATACTATGATTTTATCTAGTAAAATAGATTATAATGTTGACTCCTATCGATAAGCACTTACCGAGTAAGTATTTAAGTAAACGGCCCCTAACGATTTAGCAAAAAAGCAATTGTATATGTAATATAAAATAAAATGAATATTCATAAAGCAGAAAATAATAAGTTTATAAGAAATAGATTAAATTATGAGTGGAAGAGATTATATTAAAGCTTCTAATTTATGGAAAAGAGAAAATTAATTTAGGAATTGCCATTCAAATTACAAGAAATTACATAGTTACCCTTCCAATATTAATTATTTTAAATTAGTAGCTTAGGATGGATCTCAAAAAATTTGATGTTCTCAAATAATAAAATTCCTAAATATACATATATATGTGAACACTGTTGATACAAATAAGTTCATTGAGTCCGAAAATGGCGGTACTACAACAAAATTGGGTTTATAGGACACTCTCAATGTCTAAACGTCCCAATAAACCGCTTTTCATGACTTAATTTATATGAACAAAATATAAAATGTCATATCTAAAGAGCTTGATGAACTCGTATATTCTCTTGAATGATTAATTGTATTTCAAACAAAGGTTTTCATTATTCTTATGTTTTCATTTTAATTTACTTCATTTAAACACAATCGCTTAGCTAGATCATAAAATGATGTACCAAAGTTTCAACCTAACCAACCTGTACAGTTTGGATTTTGTTGGTTTGTACTTTTGTTTGTGTCAGATTTGGTTGAGATTTTTAAATGATCAACAATGGCTTATTCAAATGCCTTCAATCCAACGAGTGTTCACCCTAGTTACAAGGCACATTACACATCAGTCACTCTCACAATAAGACTGTCAAGTTCACCAATCACAAAAGACTATCGGGTTCAACGGCATGCAACCGTGGAACCCGACAGTTTCACCGTTCGCATCTACGTCTTGGTTGTGCAAGGAACCAAGGATCAAGAAAGAGTCTTTTGTAGACAACACCAAAAAAGAGACATTTCAAGACAAGATATCTACTTTCACCCAAACAAATCGACATAATACAAACTTTCCGTTTTCGCATCTAGAGACCCGTGAGCCTCATCATAGATTCGAACCCATATATGCCACAGAAAACGACCATAACAGCCCTCCCTCGCAGATGAGAACCAAACCGTTTGCAAAAATAGAAAAATCCATATACATATTTCAACTTACTATTCTTTCCATATACGGCCTATAACTCGTAATTTGAGTTCTTTCCTGTTTCCGCCTGAGAAAAAGAGCGCTAACTTCCTGGGAATCACCAATCCATCTTGACTATCGCGGATTTTCTGGTGACTATCACGGATACTCCGTGGGACCCCCTGCCATGTTAATTTACGCCCATACCCTCCGACTTCCAGTGAGTAGCTGAAATTCTTGGCTTCACTGTCCTCACCCATGTAGCGTAAGAATGATATGTAGACCGGAGCCATTCCCAGATGAAACGCTTCAAAGTGCAAACAGAACTGTTTTCCGTAGCAATTAAATACCTACACATCCATCAAAATCAAAGAAAAACCCATACAATAACGATAATTCAACATAAAAATTTGTGGGAATGGAGACAAAGTAACTTGTCCATGTAATAATGCCATCACGAAGAATTTTAAAACGATGCTAAGAGGAGTAATCAAATAAAGAACAATTAAGGAATGCAAGCCAATCTACACACGTCTATACACACATATAGCACAGATTCCGTTAGGAACCTCATTTTCATTAAACCAAGGAACCATTGAGAGCGCGCCCCTTGTCCATAACCATGAATGTTGTAAAAATTTTACGTCTATATTCATGATGAATATGGACAGGACATTCCCCATGAATGTTGTATAAGTTTCACGCCCATATTCATGATGAATATGAACACATGGCATACTCTAGGTGGTTCTCAATAAAAAATAGGTTCCTAACCGAACCTCCCTATACATATGTATATATAGAAGGGGATCGATGTCATATTTGAGATCAATACTAGTGTTTAAAGGAGACTCACCAGCTATGTTGCAGCGCTATTGCACTGCAATAGTGGATTGCACTGCAATAGTGGATTGCAAACTAAGGTAAAATTGCAGTGACAATTGCGTTTCAGATATTAGCAGCGCAATTGACCGATATTTGAGGTGAAATCACAGACCGATATTCCGGTATTTTAGCTTGGGCCTCTTTAGAACAAGTTGGGCCAAGTACAACACGTAAAAGGGAGTGCTATAGGGATGAAGATGATGATGATCACGTTGGAGAAGAAGGGGAAGAAGGGGAAGCTAGCCAAAACGAAGAAGGGAATGTATTAGATGATGTTGACTCGGATGCTGAACCTATTGCTTGCGATTAGCTCGTTTATGAACATTTTTCCTATTATGTTTTGTGAAACTTGTTTAAGTTGATGTTTTGATGTTGAAACAACATTTTTAATTAATGCACATGATATGTTTATGTATGCATACATTCAAAAATAGCGGTTCATATAATATTTCTTAGAATAATATATATATGAACCGCTATTTTTGGATCGCTATACCACCGCTATAACCGCTATTTCAAATATCGGTCATGACCGTAGTTTAGTATTTTCACTGCTATTTATGGGCAATTATGCAACGTTGAATGGTCCATTGATTGAATCAAGAATTTAATGGTAGTCTTCAAAATGCAACAAGGATTTTAAATATGATAACATAGATCACAACTAAAAAGCAAAGTTTCTACACGAAAACACTATACGATAGTATATCAATATCTTGGTTTAAAAATGCGCGCATTATGCGCTCTGATGCGCGATGCGCTTTGATGCGCTGGACAGAACGCATCAAAGAGGCTGATGCGATGCGATTCCATGATGCGAACGCATCACCTTCGCATCACACGATGCATGCATCACTTAGGCATCAGCGCATCATGTATGTTGCGTTTTGGGCTCCCTTTTTTAGTGTTTAGTTGGGCTTTTTTTAGTTGGGCTTCTTAGTTATGTAAAATAKAACCTGGGGTTAGAGAACCCGTGTTGGGGTTTGATGATGCTGATCTTGGGGAATATTAGTTGGTCACTTGGTTGGTCATTTAGTTTAGGGATTAGGACTATTAAACATGTACTTGTGTAATTGTGTTCTTCATGGTAGTAGTTTGTATGTTATGTACTTCTGTTATTCTGATTCACGAACTTTTTAAGATTCTAATGCCACTTTTTTAACTACTTTATGTTATAAATGAAGCATTTTGATAGGTAAGTATTTTTAAGGTAGAAATTGATATGTAGAATTAATTTATAAATAYTTTTTGAATACCGGGCGCATCACGTGCGTGATGCGAGCGCATCAGCATCACGCATCACGCATTGACTTCCGGGACCCTTAACGCATCGGACCGCATCGCGCTTTTTAAAACCAAGATCAATATAGCAACATGCCTTTTTCTTCACAAAATAGAAAAATAATTTGATTAAATACTACATGGAAATATAGTAAACATTCATCGCAGGAAATATAGCAACTTACAGTTAGCATCCATGTCGCATTTTCAACTTCATGTGGGTTGGATTTGACATATCTATGGTTGAATGTGCACCCATCATGCATATCCACATTGTGATCGTTTTTCAGATGTGCAACAAGATTTGGAATATCACCTGTGATTGAGCATTCGGAACCAGCATAAGGACAGATGTACGGCCGAAATCGACAGTTTTGCTCATGCTTCAGTTTGCTATAGTATGGGAAAATATCATGGCAGCCGAGAGTTTGGTGTCGGCAAGGAAGCTCCAACGATTCTGCTACTTTCTCCAAAGCCAAACACCTTATGTTCCCCAGCTCAGAATGGCACGTCGGGCAGCAGTCATGAACTCTTAACTTGCAGTTTGAGCACAAAGTATGACCATTTGGGCACTACATGATGAAATAGTTAGTGACTTCAGTAATTAGGAACTTCAACAAATTGATTGATGATAAATAATCTTTTCTGGTGCTCAAATGGCCATTTCAACCCAAACGACATATCCCACCTGGAGGTGAGATCTGGGGTTGGGGTGTACGCAGACGTAACCCTACCCTCAAAGACCCGACCTCTAAACAAAGTTAAAGGCAAACCAAACCAAACCAAACGAGCACATTATATCCCACCTGGAGGTGGGGTTTGTAGGTGGGATGTAAGCAGACCTGACCTCTAAACAAATTTAAAACCAAACCAAACGAGCACATTATATCCCACCTGGAGGTGGGGTTTGTAGGTGGGATGTAAGCAGACCTGACCTCTAAACAAATTTAAAACCAAACCAAACGAGCACATTATATCTCACCCAGGGCTGGGGTCCGGGGGTGGAATGTACACAGACCTGACCCTACCCTCAAAGTTAATGTATACCAAATACATGAAGTGATATGTTACGTGGAACCAACCTGATGAATTGGAGGGTACATTAACTTGGTGCATATGGGGCATTCGAGAAGCTCGTACACGCCATTGTTTGAAGGCACGGAATGCTTTTCAGTTGCCCTAGATGTTGTCTTTATGATCATATCATCATACCTCAAAAATTTAGGATGAGATTCGATAACATCTTTGCAAACACCACCTCGGGCCATTGTATGTCTGAAATCAAGGGACACTACTTTATTACTTAACGCGTGATGAAAGACCAATCGCTATTGCTCTCGCTAACCACTACCATCAGCAATATCTGTTAAACACAATAGATATAGCAAACTTTAGAACATCTTTTATATATATATATACATATATATATATATATATAGATATTATACAACTTGAAAAATATGATAAAGATCCAACGATCTTTAGAAAAAGTGTAAAGAAAACGAATCAGATCTTTCTCCAACAAAACACTGATCACCAAGTTCATGAAATCACTTTTGAAAGCTGTTATTTTGAAAGAAAATGATATCCCAACAAGAATGATATCCAAATAAGAACCAAACAGTATCAAACCACCAAATATTCTGCATTTAGCAAGACACCAAGAGAGCAGGCAAAACCCTACTAATTGAACTCATTTCTTTCCTTAAACCAGCTATTGACAATCAAGGAAAAAGGGTCATTCTTATCTGAACGCTTTCACAGCTTAACCAATTCAGATCAATCAACTTCCATAAAGAGAAACAAATATATGACTTTTCCATAAAGATCAACAGAAAGTTTTAAAACCCTAAAACGAATCTGATTTTGACACCAAAAGCAGTTAACATACACTTATCTAGTTGAGTACCCAATTTGCTTTTAAACAGAACTGCACATGAACCCTAAACACAGAAAAAAACCCCAAAATTAATTCCAACAAAATTGAAGAATTGGGTTTTTCTTCTGACTACCTGATCAAACATTCATCTAAATGATTAAATCATCCAGGGTAAGGCAGTGAAGCGACACTAAACACCCTTTCACAAACTTAAGAAATTAAAATAAAATAACACCAAATTTCATACCCATATGAAATCCCACCCACCCGACAACATCTAAGCTTACAATCATCCGCCTTCGCCATATCGACGATCAATTCGACACACCAAAAATCCCAACACAAATCTAAATTAAATATAAATAAACGATGGAAAACAAAATAGAAATAAGGAACCCTTCTTTTCTGAAATCAAAAAACACAAAAATGAGGGGAAAAGGGAGGGATACCCAGTCGCGATTATCGAGCACATTATCCAAAACCCAAATCTAATCAAGCAATAAAAACAAGAATTTGATGGGAATTGGAGGAAAGAACATGAACATGAGCATGGAGAGAAAGAAATGGGAAGAAAAAACAAAGTGGAGTCCGAGAATAACGCATATTACCCGCATAGAGTAGAAAGTTCAGAGAGCAAGAGTCACCATCTCTTTTCTGTCCCCATCTATGAAATCTTGAAAATACAAGCCATCGTATTTGAAATCGCATTTTTCCTTTTGGGTATTTGGTTTACGTGGCATTCTTTAAATTATAGGTATCTTTCATTAATTATTAGAAGCATACTGATATATAATTAGAAGGATAATTAGAAGGATACTTGTATAATAAAACGAGATATATTTTGATCTTAATATTTCATTTTATTTTTTTATCTCAATCAATGTTATAATATAGTCTTATGTGATTTTGAAAAAACGATTATGTTTTTATTTTTGAATAAAATTTAAATTTGAAGATATCATAAAAATTTGACAAAATTATATCGATATTAGTATCAAATTAATTATTTAAAATTCCTCATTTTTTGTGTAATTTTTTATTTCAATTTTTTTAATTGTAATTTAATCTAAGTTCAATAACGAAGTAATTTATATTTGGTTTAGTAATATAATTTTCTTATAAAGATAATAGTTAATTGTTTTGTTAAAACTCGATAATTATTCTAATTATATTTTATATTTTTTATATTTAAAAATGAGATGTTTATCCTCTCTTTGATTATGTTTATCCGCAGTTAGTTACACGAATTCAAACATGAAGCTTTAATAAGTTGTACTTATGCATAATTTACTTGTAATTTTGAATTTTAAGTAATATACATTAACATACAGTACTTCATTCAAATAAAATTGTTTTTAAGAGATTTTGTCAAATGTTTTATAATATAGTATAGATATAGCAAGATACATCTTAATATCAATGTTTCGTCTTATAATACGATTTTTATGGGAAAAATTGGATTCCGTTGTCAACTTGTTCTTATCAGAAATAAGATTGACTACAGATTCGAGCCATAGCATATAGTTTCATAAAACCATACGACTTTTTCGATCTAAATCAAACAGGTTTTACAAGAAGAAGATTTGATTCAACGTGTTTTATTCGATACGGGTAGGAGAAAAACCTGACCCGATATTATTAAAAAAAATAAAGGAAGCAGAACCCTATAATTTTGAGAAAAGACAATAACTTTTTTACATTTAAATAAAATATAAATTTGAAAATCCATAAAAGTTTCTCTTGACATTAGTATTATATTGATAATTCAAAAGTTTTTATATTTTTATATTTTTTTAGTTTAATTTTTTAATATATTTAATTTAAGGTTAATAACGAATTGATTATTTAGGGGCCGTTTATTAAACGTGTACCCGGTAAGTACTTACTGAGTAATTTTCCTCACTGAATGAACATGGCAAGGAGCAAGAATCTTATTCGGTAAGAGCGATGATAAGGATGGAGAGTCTTACCCGGTAAGTGAGGGTGACGACTTTTACCCGAGTAAGCGCTTACCAGGTAAATTGTTGCATAAATTCGTTTTGATGTACTACAATTTTACCCGGTAAAATAAATTATAGTGTTGACTCCTAACGGTAAGCGCTTACCGGGTAAGCATTTAGGTAAACGACGCCTTAATTTTGATGATATAATATTTTTTATAAAGATACTTTTTAGTTTAATTTTTTTATTATTATTTAATTTAAGTTTAATGATGAAGTAATTTGTTTTAGGTTTAATAATATATCAATATTAGTATGAAATTAACAATCAAAAAGTACTTCGTTAATAATTTTTTTAGTTCAAATTTTTTATTAAAATTGATGTTTAATGATAAAGTTATTTATTTTAGGTTTGATAATATAATATTTTTCTATAAAAATAATAATTAAGTATTCTATTAGAACTCAATGTTTATCTTAATTATATTTTAGATTTTTTATATTTAAAATGAAAAGTTTATCTTGTATTCGATTATATTTATCTTCAGTTAGTTACAAGAATTCAAAATGAAAAGCTTTAATAAGTTGAACTCATGCGCAATTTATTTGTAATCTTAAATTTTTAAGTATATGCATCAATAATCAATACTTAATGCATAAAAAATAATTTTTAAGAGTTTTTTGTCAAATGTTTTATAAGATACTATAAGAGCACTCGCGCAATGCAGCGAGATACATCTCGATTTTAATGTTTTGTTTTATTCTTTGCCTCTATCGGTATTATAATACGATTTTATGTGTTTTTAAGAAAGCGATAATGATTTTATTTTTGGATAAAATATAAATTTGAAAATATTATAAAATTTTGAAAAAAATATAGCAATGTTAGAGTATCAAATTAGCTATTTAAAAGTTCTCATTTTTTGTGTAATTTTTTTAATTTAAAATTTTATTATAATTTAATTTAAGTTTAAAACAAAGTAATTTGTTTTTGGTTTAATAAAATAATATTTTATAAAGATAATGGTTAAGTATTTTATTAGAACTTAATGATTATTTTAATTATATTTTAGATTTTTTATATTTAAAATAAAATGATATAAAAATATTGAGCTTTTTTAATAGATGGTTATCAATTAGTTAAAAATAAAATGTTTATAAAAACACGTCATACATGTTAGTTTTATTTAAAAAAATTACAAAATTTATGTTTAAACAAAATAAATATTTACTTATCACTTAATAAAGAAGTACGTATTTTGGCTTTGTTAACTTGAAAAGCTTTCTTCTAATGGTGAAGGATAAACGGTTACTTGGAAGCATGGAAATGGATACCAAAAGTCAATAAACCTGCATGCAAACTCCAAAATCAAATCCACACAGATACTCACAACCAACCACTTCCTAAAACATATATACATATCAAAAATCGTTCTCGTCTCTAATTTAGTATCATACGTGTATCACATGTGATTGTCTATAGTTTTATATCATTATTACTTGTTACAAGACGATAATAATTCAAGGTGTATACTTGCACTGAATACTATTTTTGTGTTGAAATCTAAGACTAAATAAACCGAACAAGCAACAGTCGTTGTATAGATGAAATATAATGTATGATATGTAAACAGTCGATAAATGTTGATCAGTTTTCGATGGTGAAAGATATATACATATATCTATCCCTGCCTATCGGGTGAAATCATATAACCATCACAATTTCTTCGATTAAGATGCTTAACGAAGATGGATTTTCCCTTATGACAAGTAGGACCCTTCTTGGTCTTGGAGGCAATTTGTTCTTTTCATGGAATAGAAATGAACACATGAATTAAAATATGAAAAGTCCGTTGGGTTTTTTCAAACTTTTAGCTTTTAAAGAACATACTTTAACAACATCACTAATACAGCTCCTCCCCAAAGGTCACTAGTTCAAGTCCCTTCAAGGCTACCGAGAATTTTCCTCGCTATTGTCCGATACCTATTGGATTAGTCGAAATACGTGCAAACTGACAAGCTAGCACGAACACCACTGTTAAAAAAACGAGAAGCCGATAGTATTTACTCGGCATTTTGCAAAGAATGTAACACACACTCCAGTCAGCATACAGTTGACCAAAAGGAATTCAAATGAAATGGGAACAATATGGAAACATTTCTTCAATTATCAGAACAAAATGAGAAAGTGTTAGACAACAATGTGATTCCATTCCAGACTTCAACCCCAACACAGAATATACAAATTTCTATCTGTAATAATGAATGTCACCTAGAAAACATGTACGAGTTAACTAACTAAATCCAACCCGTCAACCCGTATCTGTCAGCAACATTGTACATTACCAGTTCATCCCAGGTATGGCCGAAAAGCCGTTCGCCTCCAATGGTGAAGGTGAGGGCCCATGAAGCTAGCATGGCTGAAAACACCATGAATCCTATTGCTGATCCTACAACATCTACAGACCAGAAAAAAAATGGTATTAAAAATAAATGCATTCAAAACAGATTATATAGTTTCAAATTGAGAAAATTGCATATAAATGCAACGTACTTTGATCTAATTCCTATTCGGTGTAATGTACTTCAAATTATTTATTTTGGTACCTTAAATATGATATCTCAAACATTTAAAATGAGAATCAGACCAAAGTGCGTGCATTTTCATGTATTCTCATATGTAAACTACGTATTTAAATGTTTGAGATGTCACATCATTGACGACCAACTATGCATTTGAAAGCTTGCAACCATAGATTGTAATCTTAAGAGTTTTGGGCTAATCTTTTATGAAATCTTTTATAATGTGATTCGTTGGTTTGATCATCAATGCACTTGTTAGCTAGTTTCTACTTGCAGAAAAGCCTCCAAACAACAAAAAGTCAATGCACCATTAGTGAACTTGATGTTAGAAGTTGTGCCTCCATTGCTGATGGAGTCAACTGTCAACCACCCTGCATTAAGACATTTTCTGGTTCAGAACTTTTCTAGCCAACTGTTCACCAGAAAGAGTCCAACTGCAATGACTTTAGCTCAACAGGATGACAAGGCACACAAATTTGCTTCCTATAGCTGAAACCTACTGCGCTTTTAACTTCACACATGAATTAAAGTAATGGACTTCATTTGAATTTGGCACCTGTAAGTATTAACCATTAGGTATGTCTTCCCTCTTTACTATGAACAGCACAGGTTGCAAGTTGATCGGAATCACTGTTGTTATTGGTTCTTTGTCTATTTATCAACAAGCAGTCACTTTTTGGTGTATATTCTTTTGTTTTATTCAACAATGAGAATGTAGGATATCATCATGGTTTTATGGGATTTTTCGTACACAAGACTACAATATTTAAGAATTAACTAGAAAATGTATGTCTCTGGGGATGCCAAACATCTTGAGTGTGATGCACAAAATATCCTACAGTTTAAGGAGGGAGAGGGGGATGAAGGGAATAGGGGTACCTGGGATGTCAACCGCTCTATAAGTGTACTCACTATTTTTATCGAAGGATCACAAAGGGGGAGATGCAGGAGGCTCTAAGGAAAAAGAGCAGGGGCAAGGCCGTAGGCCACGGCCAGATCCCCATTGAGACGTGAATGTGCTTGGGGAGGTGGGTGTACCGTGGCTGTTGGAGCTCTTTAACATCTTACTTGAGACTGTCAACATGTTAGAAGAGTGTGTGGTGGTGCCATCATATAAGAACAAAGGTGGCATACATCATTGCGAAAACTTACGTATAAAGCTACTGAACCACACCATGTAATTATGGTAGAGGGTGATTGAAGCCAGGGTGCAACACGAGACAGGGGTGTTGGGGACTCAATTTGGTTGCATGCCAGAGAGGTCAACGGTTGAGGCAATCGACCTCATCAAAAGCCTCATGGACAAGTTTAGGAAACTAGGTAAAGATCTGCACATGGTGTTCATTGACCTGGAAAAGACCCACGATAGTGTATCCCAAGACGTGGTTTATTGAGAGAGGGGTACCATGGACGCATGTCATGTCAGGTCAATACATGACATGCATGAGCGAAAAAGAACCGTGTCAGGGCCCAAATGGGTAAAACGAAGTATTTCACGGTTAAGATAGAAATACACCAGGGATCGACACTGAATCCATTTCTTTTTGCCATGATTTTGAATGAGATCGCGCAAGGGATCCAAGGTGTGACCCATGATGGATGTTATTTGCTGATGACATTGTTTTGGCAGCTAATAGGTGAATCTCTTGCACATTTCCTTACTTTTTGGTTGTTTTTCCGCATATAATTTAGTGTAACTTTGTGCATAATTATTAGCTTTTACTAGTTTTTTCTAATCACCATTGTGAGTCGAGTTTAGGATCGATTTTAAGTTTTTGGTATATTTGTCAGGTTACGGAGCAAGCCAGAAGGTTGGCGCATTCTGAAAGAGTGCAAGAGATGGAGGAAGTGAAAGTGACAAAGAGATGGAACTGATAGACGAAGAGATCGAAATGGAACAGGGTGAAGAGATTGAATCCAAAGAAAAAAAATGGAAAAGATTGGATGATTGAAGAGTGGGATCGTCAATCAAGGAAAAAAAGCTTGCTAGAAATTCGAAACAAGCAAACACGATCACGCTTGGTAAAGGGACTATGGTAAAAGTCAAACCAACACACCAATCTACCATATTGCAAAAGGAAATCATAACCTGAGAAGATTTTGCAAACATACCAATAGCCAAGAAGGAATGTTAATTAATAAAGATGGATGATCACGGTGTCGCTCTAAGCTCCAAGTCTGTATAAGAACGTGGCGAGTGAATTTATTCTCAAGTCCAAAAATTGTCATGAAACTACATGCATTAAGGGCTTTGGGGGTAAGGTAAGAGGTTTAAGGTAGGCTTAGGCTCGTTTATTGAGGTTGGAGACTTTATTTTGGTTCATGGGTTATTTTTGTGCACATATCCGCCATTTCCTAATGTTTTTGATGGGGGTTGGGTGGCAAGCAAGGTGATTAGGACACTGCAAACAAACGTCCACCAGCTTTTGACACCTTAGGGGTTGTTTCTGGGTCAACTGATCCGCGTGATCGGTTTGAGACCAACTGATCAGGTTGTTTGGAGGTCATTCGTGCAACCTGTCTAGCAGATTGAGACCCGCATTAGCAGTCTTCGCCCTTCTTGAGCGATTGCTAGAAGCTATGCTATGAAACTGGTCTGAAAAGATAAATACCTTCCAGAATAGATAAACCAATGCCCTACAGTCTGCCCGGACAATGGCAGCCCACAAGATAATGCAAAACAAATGATGACAGTGAACAATGTGTGTGAATCAGATACACAACTCCTATCAGATGACCTTTATGGTATGCAATCAACCAGAAACATAAGCAATAAAACTACCCACATGCAGATATAAGCAATATGACCCTAGAAGTAATTTTATAAGAATAACATGAAAAAAGTGTACCAATCTCTGCCAATAAAAATTGAGACCCAAGGGAGGAGATGATGGTTTGCAACGAGGGTTCCACGGTAGTCGCAGGCAAAAAAGTGGGAAGACGATGGGAATAGGGGCTTATGTACCTTAAATGAAAAGGAAGAAAGAGAAGGGTAGTGACTTGGTCTCTTTGAGGCAGATTGTAGCAGAAGAATGGCCCTAGTGGTGGTCTTCGGTGGTGAGCTCGAAAAAACAAGGGCGGAGTTCACGATAGTTGACGGGATAAAGTCCACTGAGTAGACGAGAGTGGTGGTGAGTGGTTCACAACGACGAACGCAGCAAAAGAAAGAGGATAAAGAGGGTCGGGGATGGTTGACAACGAGTGTTGTGAAGATGTGGTCGGATAAACTCGAGGATAGTGGTGCTTCAATCGTAAAAGGGGGGAGAGAACCGATAGTGTGGGAAGCAGGAAGAAGAGAGGGGGCAAAAGGGGCGGGGTTAGAATTTTTTCCTATCCCCTTCTTTTCAAGGAACAAGATCGGGCTTTATATTTGATGGACCGTGAAAGGCAAGCAATCATTGGCAGAATATTCATGTGAACAGCAAACATGATCTGGCCTTAGCATGGATGTGATCGTGAATTTCAAATAGGGAAACAGAAACCTTTCATGAACAGGAAACACAATCCTGATTATTTATAAAGCACGATCGAATTGCAAAAATCAGAAAACAAAAAGGACAGTTTCAAGTCTCTAGGTCTATTATTCAAAAGGAGGGTGAGATCAAGGATGATGTTACTCATTGTATAAAGGCATAATTGTTAAAATTGAGGGTGGCCACAGAAGCATTGTGGAACAAGAGGATCCCGCTCAAGCTAATGGGAAAATTCTAAAGTATGTTGATGATAAAGACGCCGCTTAAAAGGAAGATCGAGGCAGCTGAAACGAAGATGCTCAGATGGACTCCTTATCGGGCCATGATAGACAAGATAATGTTCAAGCAGAATTGGAAGTAGTGCCTATTACGAATAAATTGAGGGAGACAAAGATTGTGGTGGTTTAAGCACATTCGTAGAAGACAGTTGGCGGCACCAGTGACTAAGTGAAGAGGGTCGAGGTTGTGAGGAGGAGGAGTAGGCCATAAAGAACGTGGGACGAGCAACTGAGACTAGACATGGCAGCTTTAGAGACTTTGGAAGACATGACCTCAAATAGAAGTTTGTGGAGACCCAAGTCTAGGGTAATAGACTGTGTATAATGACTAGTGGGTTTTGGGGGCAGAGGAGGAGGTGGAGAGGTAGGGGTGGGTTGAGGAAGGGTTGGAGAATCGTCGGATAGGTATTTGAACCCTAACATGGTTATCTAGGTATCAAAGACGTAGGTTGAGGGAGGTTCAAAGTCGACCGCTGCTTTGTTCTTAGTTTTGTGGTGTCGTTTCTTCTTATAAACCTTTATGATCATAGGCGTTGTACTATTATTTCTTGAAACTCTTTCTTTGTGTTTTTCACTTCTTCTTCTTCCTTCTCTCTCAAACTTTTGGATCCATGTTTTGGGTGACAAATTCTTTTCAAAATCTTTCAAAAGCAAATGGTCTTCACGAAATAACTTCTCTGCTCATCCAGATAGAGGTAAATTTTGCATACATCGTACTCTCTCTAGACCCTATGTCTTTTGGGATATACTAGGTTCGCTTGGTTGGTTTATAATGTGTGCTATTTCTTAGGGAGATGCCAACCATCCAAGAGATCCTAGGTTTGAGGAGGGTACAAAAATTCCCAGTTCCTTTCTTTCCTATTTTCCTCAATTTCTTACCCTAAATTGCCATGCATCACGAGTCCACTAGCATGGACGTAGAAGATGTAACACAACAATGAGCAATGCTCCATCAGTCCCAAAGGAAGAGCTGAATTTTGATGTTTATGATGTCAAACCAAATTAGCTTTCGGTAGCAAAATCAAGACCCCTTTTCGTACTTTTCCCATTTGAAGAACAAGAAGTGCTTAAAATCCTTTTTTCAAATTCAAAATGTAACTCTATAGTTGGGACAAAAGGAGTAAAATTTGTGTGTGCTTGCAGATAAAACCTCTCGCATCAAATGTTCATAAATCCGTATGATTACAAGCAAATTCCAAACACTCTCAAACTACATGAAGTGAAAAGAGTGAAGAACGAGATTTTTTATGCAACAAAACAAAAATAAATCAATGCGCTTATTGTAATCGAGAATTTTCCCAAATTAAAACTGAAATCAACTTACAGGGGCGGATTTGGGGGAAAGAGCGTGCGTGACGAAGTACGGGCCAGAAGTAGTAGCAATTGACGGCCCACAGCAATGGTAGTAACACGAAGCCAAAACCAAAGAACTTACGGGCGTAACCTACGGCATCTTGCTCCGACAGCCCCAATGGTCCGTCGATCGTCGGCCACTCAGGTCGCGATAATGATGAAGTACTAATAAGTCTAGGATCAAGGTTTTGGTTGTAGCGAATAGGATCGGTACGATGGGTTATCAGTACGGCTGCTTCCGACGGAATCACTTCCTCCGATGACCTTTCCATCCTCTCTCCCTCTCTCGCGCTCTCTCTCTCTCTCTCTCTCTCCCCCCGTCGTACCGATTGAAAAGCAAAAGAGTAAATTACGTTTTTCATTTTGTTAAAAATTGTGGATTTAGTCCCTGTGGTTTTCAAATTTTCGTTTTCATCCCTATGATTTGTAATTTATTTTCATTTTAATCCCTAAGATAAAAACCCTAACTTTTAAGTACGGAGGACTAAAATAAAAATGAACTATAAACCATAAGAACGAAATAAGAAATAAATTTTAAATTATAAGAATAAAAATGATAATAAAGTATAAATTATAGGAATAAAAATTATAATTTCAAAACCATAAAGACAAAAATAGAAATTTTCAACAAACTATAAGGACTAAAAATGTAATTTACTCAAAAGAAAAAGTAAGAATTTCAAATACCACACCACAATCGTAACAAGGATCTAGATCTTTGGTCACCTTTAAATTAAGCAAATCGTTGTACCTATCTCTTCGAACTATTCCAAGAATATTATTCTTGAGACTATTCAATAGTGTACATTAGAAATGGCAAAATGGGCTCGGCCCGGCCCGGGACTGGGACCAACTTAGGACCGACATGGCCTGGGACCAATTGAGACCGCCGGTTATGGTTTTCATCCAAAAACAAGGCCTGACCCGGGACCGGTTTGGGACCGGTTATAGGCCCGACCCAAGACCATTTTGGAACCGCTGATTAAGGACTATCATTACACATATTAGAGGAGCTAGTGTTTTGAGTTCATCCAATATTCTACGTGCATATATGGAAATAATGCATCGTGAATCAAAGAAATGAAAGTAAGATACATCAAAAGTGATAACACAAAGCGTATTCTGCTTTAAGTATATATATAATCAGCAATAACAAATGCTCCTCTAAATTCAAGTGAATCAAGTATGATGCCAGAAGAATGTGACATATTTGCTTACCAAATAATTACCTAAAATAATATTTGGGAAACATGTAGATAGTATCAGAATGCAAGAGGATTAGTAGACAAAAAGGAGAGTCTAGTATATATGTAGTATTAGTATCTTGTAAACTTTTTCCTTCATCCAATGTTTTATTTTTCCTACAATCTATATACCATCCTGCTTTTTCTAACTCGCATGATTAATGTACGAATCTGGAAAAAAATATTAGACGAAAGGAAAAGTCTATGTATTGCAAAGAAACTGATGCATTGTACTATTTCCTTCGTCCTATTTTTATTTTTTCCCACTGGTTTTTTTATTTTGGCGTAAGGCTTAACAAGGCAACAGTTATGCACCATCACTCCTTTGACTCGACACAAAGAGGAGTGTTGTAGAATAAATGTATCATCGTCTAAAAGATATGACGATAGAGATAGAGATAAATATATCAGAGTTAGATTAGAACTGAAATATCTCATAGTTATCTACTTGTAACTTATCGCTATATAAGAGGTTTATGATTAATGAGAATAACATATTCATTCTCTCCATTCTATTGTTGTTCTATTTTGTTTATACTATAACAAATTTTCTGAAACATGTTGAATAATTAAACCTTGTACCAATTTCTTTCTCAAACAATAATTTCCTTTTATGCAACTTAAATTTGCAAAGTAAAAATTAATCGAGAAAGATTTACTCAATATGCACCCGGGACGTAGCACAATTGGTTTCAGGTTGGTATATTTGTTAAAACAGACAAATATTCGAGTCTAACAACTGCAATGTAGGACTATAATTTCTTTGAGGATTAGGCTCTTGATAAGCACTAGACTCTTAAGTCAACCACCTGTTACCAGATTTGCCTCTGATACGAAACTCTTGAAACAAGATGGTGTTGGCCGGCTTGAAGGTTATCAGTTACGATCCCTAAGTACATCGTTGATGTTTTAAGTTGACATGACATCCGTGGCCTAATTCTTCGGGCTTGAGATTTAGCACGAGCCTAACCAGGACCAAACCCATATAGAAAAATATGAGAAGTAGCTTCGGTTCAAACATAAATCATCAACAGATCGAACACGGCCATGCCACATGAACATTTAAACACTTTGACGTAGGTTCAATACAAAATATATTTCTTTTACGCTAACGAACACAAGAAAGAGAATGCAACTTTCGATTCTCGACAAATATCATCATTTTTGGTATCGTTTTGAGGTACAAAATTGGCTACAAGGGGAAACAAGAATATATTCCTACAGAAACTACAGATGATTACCCTTTTTCAATTATATATGTTTCCCAAAACGAATGTGTGCAGTCGTATTCTATCCGATTGTTTGTGAACCAAATCGAGTTTCATGATCTTAGTTGAAATGCCTCGTTTTTGTTTTTTCAAGATTGAGTTCTATCCTTGATCTTTGCTCTCGCGAAGAACACCCCTGCAACTAAACCTAAAACCCAGAAGAAAAACAGAAAATGATGTAATCTTAAGGTTATGCATTCTAAGAAAGAAATCATGTCGTTATAGGAATTCTTGAGTCGGGGAAAAAGGTCGACTGAACCAAAAGGGTCATTGGCCTAGTGGTAATGGGTTATGTAGAGCCCAGCCTCCCAGGAGGTCAAGAGTTCAAACCTCACCTGAGTGAGTATTTGTCCTATATAAATATTATAACAAATAAAAAGAACTGACCAAACAAGATGCTCGCAGAGTTCTCCACGCTAGTGGGGACGTGAAATAAAACGATGCCAGCAACTGAGAGTGGAATCTTATTCAGTGATCCCACAAGGCTGCAAATTGCGAAGTCTGAGTAAGAAACATAAAACCAAACAAACTAAGTATATTCCACCTCGAGGTGGGGTATGAGGGTTGGGATGTACGCATTCTACCCCAGGGAGCAGAACGGCTGTTTCGGTGAAGACCCCAGCTTGTGCAAAATGCGCGTAAAAAATCGAGTCCAATAAGAAACATGAATATATAAATATAAAATGAAGCTTGCCTTTAAATGTTATTATAACATTTTGAGCATCAATCACAGCATTCAAACTGTTAATTGAAATTGGAAATAGCCGAAGGAAGTCCTCATGCAGATAATGACTAGAGGCTTCTTTGTGTGTGAGTTCTTTTTTCGTATCTTTTTTCCTTTCAGTGAGGGTTTTAAAATTATTTTCTGATGAAGAGAAGAATACAAGATGTCCAACAACTGAACTAACTTAATAGAGTGATCAACATTTTGAATGATGGTGCTTGAAATTTGTTTTTAAAACAAACATATTTGCATAGGGCAAATTGCATGAAGATGCAACCTACTTTGTTCTGATTCCTATTGTTGCGTAACATACTTCCAAAACCTTCATTTTGGTACCTCAGATGTGATATCCCAAACATTTACACCAAAGTATGTTGCACACAATAGGAGTCGGACCATAACTATGTTTCGTTTTCATGCATTCTCATATGTAAACCAGGTATCTAAATGTCCGGGATTTCACATCCTAAGGTACCAAAAATGAAGGTTTTAATAAAATAGGAATTGGACCAAGGTATGTTGCAATTTCATTCAGAATGCCCATTTGCAAAAACAAAAAGAAGAACACTCCGTTTGGCAGAAAAATAGTGAACACGCACTCCAGTTGAAAAAGAACACTACAGACTGCCAACACGAGTGCAACATTCTCTATTTTCTACATACTACAGGGTTTTTTTCACTGTTTTTCTGCCAAAGAGTGTTTGTTCCTCAACATTCTCGATGAAATGCCAAGCTCAATGGTCTTAAATGCTAAACACCGTAAGTTAAAATCCACCAAGTAGAAATATATAAATATAATATCCATAATACATCTAAATATATTGATGGAAGCCACATAAAAAAGGTTTTGCCTGTTGTTTGGAGGGTCACAATAGATATCACATTTCAGAATTCCATGATAGCATCAACAATAATTTATCAACAGTTTTTGTCATCTTACAGTCCATTACTTGAGCCAGTAAGTGAAGAAGAAAGAATTTACTTGCCTGTATGTAGTCGCCCCTGTTTGATGAAGAAACCACATAGATGTGAAGCTAATAGCTAGCCCAAGAAATCCACTAAATGTGATCACCAGCCAGAATGTGGGCATCCTCAAAAGGGGTCTGCCAATTATTACAAAGATTTGCACAAACAGAAAAGAACAATATTATAGGAATGTCGAAAATATAATGACAAAAGCACAAATTTGCAGAAAATAATCATCACAACAAAAACACAAGCCAGCTCATGGTGATCTGTTTCACTTTAGCCAACTGACAGCTCTTGAACGTAAAAATGTGCTTTACTCCATAACCCACAAGTTTATATGCTCCAATAGAGGGAATATAAGGCAAAACGCAAAAGATTGTTAAGAGTTTTTTTTTTTTTGGGGGGGGGGGGGGTAACTGAACCACCTTCTTAAAACTTCAGGACGTCCCAAAAATGCCACATATCCTCTTTAGAGAGATCCCAAATTTAATACTCCAAAAATAAGTGTCCACATTTCTATTTTAGTTGGTCCCAACATAAGTGTCCACTTTTAGAAGTAAATGCCAAATTTCCAATCCTACCCTTAATTATGAGATAGAGATGAATTACTCCCACTATTATTAAGGGCAAAATTGTTATATGGTTCATAAAAAATGTAGTAATTATAAAATTGTGCGCCTATTTCATTGTGGACATTTATTTTGGGACAAAGGGAGTACTTGTTTGCCCATTATCATCATTACAAATCAATTGATGTATCGATTTTGGTACACAAGATTCCTTTCTGTCTTTATAGAAGAGTGTTTCAGATATTTCATGAACGATAAAATATTTAACTTAATTTATGTACCAAGTGAAATGTTGCAATTTTCATGGGATGGAGGGTGTATTTCCCAAGTAACTATAGTTTGGAAACAGTTCCCTGTATATTTGCATAAATTAATTACCAGAAAAAAGGTAGTTAGTAGGGGAAGAACAAACTCACGTGCTATAAAGATAATCCACCTCATTGAATACAAAGACTAGCAGAAGTCCTAGTGGCAAGGACAATGTGTTGTTAAGTAGAACCATTGAAAACTCATTCAGGTTTCCAGATTTTGTGACCTGCTTAGCTGTATCCATGACCCGTCGTAGTGTTAACTGCACAACTTGACAATGTCAGCAATAATTTGGATAAAACTGCTTCCTCCGCCCCAAAACAAGTATCTGCACTTTTATTTTAGTGTGTTCCAAAATAAGTGTCCACTTTCAAGAGTAAGTGCCTACTTTCCAATTCTACACTTAATTATATAACATGGAGAAATTCATTACTCCCTCTATTATTAAGGGTAAAACTGTACATTGCTTAATTAGAAAGTGTGATAATTACATATTTTTAGAACTGTGTGCCTTTGTCATCGTAAACATCTATTTTGGGATGAAGGGAGGAATGAAAAACATGTGTGTCAACTTAATAGCTGAAAGCATTATACAATATATAGAAGAAATCAAAATGATATCTAAGACAACTTTATAGGGGGGATACTTATAGCAGCACTTTACTTGTTTACTGGGACATTGTTACTAGAAAATCATGACGTATTAGCAGACCTATTATGGAACTAATTACCTAGTTTAAAGATTTACAGACGAATTAAATAATCTGATTAACTAAATGTCATGTCTCAGTAGTATTGTCTTCAATACACTTGGATCAGATGCATTTCTCCAAACTTCTATACAATGTGCCTGCTTATGTTCTAGATTACCTATAATCAGAATAAGATAAGGGAGCCTAGCATGAGCAGTCTGTTATGCATTGACCCAGGCCCAGGCCCATCATTACCTTATAGATTATAAAAGAGGTTAGAAGGGGTGTTTTAGTAACTTTGAGGAATTATTCTGTTAGCAAAAGGGGCCTTTGGGTCATACCTAGAATAATCCTATTATGCTAGTATAAATCAGTGGGTATGTTGTTAGGAGAGATAGGCAGAAATTAGTAAGTTCTTTTGGGAGAGACTAGCACTTTCGAGTTGCTTGAGGTTCCAATACTTGTCTTTTGTTTTACGTTCATTTACTTGATTGAATCCAATTTCGCCAAATACTTCCTCTCTATTACTGTGTTTGCTGCACACTGTTAAGCCGATTCATAACACAGTCCAAATTAAATACCAGCTTTCATTTCAACTAACTGTATACTTGCTCTTCAGAATAGGCTTTACAGCAAAGGCGAAATCAAGGAGATAAATACCTAGCTGCTAATCCTCTTGATAGTACGCTAGTAACATCTAAATGTGCAAATGTCGTAGCAGGAGTAAATACTTCTGCTACGAAAAAAGGTAGTGGTATTGCTTTAAGGGATTTTCAGAATTAATTACTTATGATACTTTATCTTCTGTCAGTTTTTCTTTTGTGTTTGGTTTTTTTTTTTTTTTTTGGGGGGGGGGGGAGATGCAGCCCTGACAAATAGCAACAATTGCATACATTATTAACTCTCATGTTGCAAAAAATGGAATTTCTCTCTCTTCGTCTTCCTCTCATATCATGTTCTCATTATGTAAGATGAATTTGTGTTATGCTGCTCAATACTGAAGTTTGAAATTTGTAAATTCCTATGAACTTATGAATCCGTAATGATTTACAGTCCAATCAAGTTTTGGTTGCAATCAAAGCTTCAATTTTCATTAAAGTTTTGGCGTCTGAAATAGCATGAGAAATTATTATAAAGTTGATTTCTATAACTGTTGGACAAGAATAAGAAAGTTATTCTATAGCTATTAGACAAACTCATATTGTTATATGTCTAGCAACTCAACCAAATGCCCTCAATGCCAATAATTGAAAGATGAAGTCACCTTCAGAAAACATGCTACAAGCCTTCCAAAAGGGAAGCTATAAATAGATGAACAATGGAAAACAATAAGAAAATCAATAAGCTCCAGAGCAAACAAAAGTTGAGATAAGAACCCGGGTTACTCACAGAATATGATGCTGTCAGAAAGCAATTAATAATCTGCCATGTGTAGCCAACAGCATGAAAAGCTAGATCTGTTATCCCTCCGGAGATTGCTGATATGATCTGCATACATACTAATGCGTCATGACTCCAAACCTCCAATTAATCATATATATGAATGTATATAATCTTCAAAATTAGAACAGACAGAGATATCAGATTCGTTACATAACAAAAACATTGGTAAACAAACAATATAACATATATATACACATACATATTTAGTATCTATTAGCTTCCTGGCAACTTTGTCTTTGCTGTCAACTTGTATTGAAGTTCAAAATGGAGATGTTTATATTGGTACCAGAAGTAAAAAGCCCTAAACCTCTTAAAACTTTCCCATGCCTTGCATCCTCTTCAGATATTAAAAACCTAAGGGGGGCAACAGACTTGGGGGGGAGAGGGTTCAGCCACAACATGGTAGGAGAAAGGGGACTGGAAGAAAGAAGGGCGGTGGTGCACATGGTGACGTATTTGACACTTTTTGAAAACTTTGGTGGCCTCCTTGTATATTATCCTTCTACTTAAAAATAAATACAATAGTTTTACAAACAAATATAATAAATATACTAAATGTTGCCATTCAGATAAAAAGACATCATAAAGGAAATGAAAATTGGCCTGATTATTAATTCAACAATCAACATACCATCAAGAACAGAGCCGCCCACACTCTGTTGTCATGGTGCTTATTGAATAAATACATTTCACCGACTGCAGTTATCACATTGGTAACATTCTTCAGCACCGTAACCATGGCAACATTAATGTACCTCAGACTGCAAACAACATGGCTCATTTGACAATCAGAACTTTATAAGAATTCAATCAGTTAAGTATTGAATTAAATCTCTATAGCATATAGACAGGCTGCGTATGGCAACTATCATCTACTCATCTTGATCACACCTAAATATGGCAACAACTATTTATCAAAGACAATTAATTGGTTGTCTAATTGAACCCACAAGCAGGCAACCTAGGTCACTGGATTATGACAAGAATTTACAGGGTAATGAAAACAAAAATACATGAAAGGAATATAATCTCCAACCGGATGAATTTTAGCATGCAGATTAATTACTAGTTAATATGACATGTGGATGTGGTCAGTGATTCCATGTAACCTTTAGTATGTAATGTGGTATACCAATCCTAGCACCAATTTAGGGGCTACAGGTTATGAGTGATGATATCATTCTCTAGAATCCTATGTACCCGATGTCATTCATCACAAAGGAAAATGCTAGTTTACTTAAAAGGGCATAAAAACACTTAGGAAGCCAACCATGGCTTTGGTTCCAATGTGACAAGAGTTGGTTGATCACGAAAATGACAAAAACTTTAGTCCATAGTGGGGCCCACGTCATGCCTACTTAAACCTACACTGCTATGGGCATTTATCATCAAACCATAATTTTTAGTCAATTTATACATAAGCATGGCCATTAAGACACTATAAAGTTCTTTCTTTCCCTATAAATTGGCAGAAAATCAATTTACAGCACCTTGAAACATCAAGGTTCTATTCGGTTGTTCAAACTACAGATAGTTGTCACATGATGGACGAGGATCCAAGCCTCATCTCCCTCCTCCTTAACAATTAAGAACTTAACGTGCAGGGAGAGTGTTAAAACCCTTTAAAGGCTGCCACGTCGCTGTTCCTATCAGTTAGTTTCTTCTAATATGGTCTATAATAGTGAAAAACTAGTGGGCACATATATGAACGCATCCCTGTATCATAGATTCATATCATATATTAGAATTTCTAATCAAAGTATGCACGCATCCCACACATGTATCCTTGAAACATAGCTCTTAAATGTATTGTAATAGAGCAACAAATGAACCCCGTGATCCATTAAAACAAGAATGTTGAAGTACAATAAGCAAATACAGGTACATAGTAGAAAATAGAAAGTGTAGAATAAAATTGTGAAAGCAAGGTTAATGGGAAACGGTATCTGGAACGAATCCATACCTAAACATGCTTGTAATTAACATCCCAACGAATATAAAGTTCACAGGCAACCAGACTTTAATCAATCTCCATGTGAGTGGTTCTGTTGATATTACACCGAGTAAACTCAAACTAGACACTATCACTACCGACACAAAGTTCTGCCAACATAACATAAAGGACTTGTCAGCCGAATAAAAGAAAATAAAACGTAAGTGTTATAATAATACCATCCTTAAAAAGAATACAGAAACAGACCTGGTAGAGCATCAAAGATATTCCAGCATTAAAATCGTAGCTGGAGAGGACGTATTTATTAACCAGTATCATGCTACATGATGAAAGGCAATATGCAAGGCCAGATAATAGGGCTTGATTGTTAAGTTTTAACCTACTAGTCTTTGAACTCCTTTCTCTCTCTTTATCAAGCCTGCCATCCTCCACATCAGTCTCATTATCACCAACATTTTTCATTGTAATAGCTGATCTGTATGAATATAGAATTAGAATACGATAAAATTTGCTGCTGCATATGGTTGATTCAAAAACATAACAATAAAAGAAAATAAGAACTCATTAAGAGTTGAAAGCGACACCAAAAAAACAATGAGGGGTGACCTTTTAAATACAAGAATCCTTGATTCAGAGGTCTTGAGGAAGGCTAAATTGTTATTTTATCGTATAAAATGCATAGGTAGATGCAAAACAAATAACCTTTTCTATAATCTTCTTAGATAAAGATTTTTCTAGGAATGCACCTAGATGGGAAAAAGCAAGTTCTTCCACCTGCTGCCTGTAATATGATGCACTTGTGTGATAGATTCTTTTACAATAGAATTCAAGGGTAGATGCAAATAAAACAGTTAGGATAAGTGCACAGCCCTAAGTCCTAAAGAAAGAAGACGTCCCTAGACCTGAACACATAACCACGGTATTTTGGAAACTTGATGGGAAAATTTTTCCTTCTAGCAGAAGTACTTTCTCATCCTCTGCTTGCTCTCATAAAACCTTTCTATGGTGCCTATTGTTACATTCATGCGTGAGGCAGATACGATGGCCAAAATCCCCTCGTGGATTGCGCATTTTCATCACCAGATCTCTATCACATGGATAAAATTCAGCACCATATATACAACTAGTTTTGTTTTCAGGCACCCATCCAGATAGGCTAAAGCAAGTTCTCCAGCCATATGTTAGGGGATGCAGTTGTGTTTGTGATTGTGATAGCAGTGTGTATGCCCAATGAAAAGAATTATTGATCATTATTTCCAGAACACTCAAAACATTTGGATCCAGTAGGAGCACTGAAGTTCCAATGAGAATAATCCCCACTTGTTCTATCTCAACTCATAATCACTGATGAAGTTAGCATTGCGCCCTGGTTTACAGCGATTGGTAAGCTACCAATTAAAAGTAATTTGATAATTTTCACAAGAAGGATTCAAGGTTGATTCCCCACATATTAGACAACCTTAAAAACCATCAATAATGGCTAGTTTCTAAACTCAAATTCACGGCTTAAAATTGGAAGAATATGAGAATAATCTGATTGAAAAGTACAAAAAACGTGCGCTTTTATTTGAATTGCAAGTCGCTAATTCCGTTACCAAAACAAGAGTTCATACTCTAAACATCAGCAAAAGAAGATTCAAGACAACACTTAGTGCCAAAACACTAAAAGAATCAAACTGCCAACCAATAACAAGTTCGTAATGAGAACACATAATTCCACAAGATTAACTACAAAATCACCATGTCTACTCAAACATATTAGCTAACAACACAACCAACCATAAACTAATCAACAGTTTCCTTAAAGAGAAGAAGATTAGATGCAAGATCACAATAGTATTACATAAATTGCAATTTAGGGCGACAAGAAAGGCACCTCAATTAAGAAAACGCAAAAGCGAACATTGACAAGGAAAGCCGCTCCTCTTCTTGAGTTATCCGTCTCAAAAGAAGTCAACGATCGTAGTGATGAATGGTAGTCTGCGGAGTTTGTGAGGTCACGGCGGTCTACGGCGGATGAAGGTGGCCGGCGATCTTCAACGATCTTGCCTGAATTTGGGAATACAACTCAGACCACCATGCTAAATTTCAGTGGAAAGAAAGGAAGAAATTTAGAAGAAAATATTGGAAATTGGGGATTTTAATTGAAATTTGAGGCTGGATGGGTCAAATCCATCATGGGACCAGGTGGACTATGTTCTTTATTTATTTTTTATTTTTATTTTCAAAAATTAAATTTTTATTTATTTTTTCGATAATTATATTTTTTTGTAAGAAAACACCAAATAATTTTTTTACAGGTAGAGGTTGTTTGAGGGTTGCTGAATAGTTTGGTTCAAAATGATTAATAGATTCATATTATATAATGCAAAATAAAATATTATTATTTGGTAATTGTTTACAATAAAATTAAGGCGTTTAATGATTAAGGGAGACTCATGATACAAAATCATTCATAGGATTTTAGAACCATTAAGAGACATTTTTTTTTTGTCAAATAAGATTCACTTCTTAATGATTCGGAGATTGTCTCTTAATTGAACTATTAACATGTAAACCAACAACCCCTTAATTACTTAAATGTTTGATAAATTTTGAATAATAAATAAAATGATCAAGAAAAATCAGTTTTACATATGGCTATTTTATATAATTTTTTGGACATGATTTCTGATAAAAGCACATAGAGACCTAGAACCAGAGTAGCAGATATGGGTAGGGATGTGTAGCATGGATGGGACAGAGAGGGGTAGCATGGTAACAATTCGGTTAGCAGAGTCATAAGTCAGATAGAGAGACATCTCAGTTTCTAATACTTGGTATTTCTGTATTGTATCTACATATGTGATGTTTTCATTGGACATTAGTCATAACTTTTCTTCTTGTGTTAGTAGTTGTCAGTATTACACTTTGTGTTTCTTTGTTCGTTTTAACTTATTTTTTTTTTCACATTTGTCAATTTTTTTTATTAACATGGATATCAAACCCGCTATGCGAGCTGACTAATCCCGACGCGACCACATGCTTTGTAGATAGCCCGAAGTCACCGCATTTGAACCTTCGTGGCCACAAGAGGATTTTTATTCCTCCTTAGATTTGAACCTGTAACCTCCTGGTACTTTTGGTTTAATGTACTCGTGCTTGATTGGACATACTCTCAACTGTAGCTTGCTTTCTTGTTGCTTTAAAATTCGTGTTTTACAAGTCGGGGGTCTTCAACAATCTATGTACCATTTAGGGTAGATGATGTGTCTTCTTATATCATACACTCGAGACCTTAACTCTGCGTGATAATTATTGAGTTTGTTTGTTTTCGTGGATTTAAATTAAAATATGATACTTTAGGATAGAAATGCAAGTAAATAAGTAACTTTATCTGCTTGTTAAATAATCAGTTTTGTTACTGTCGATGTTTGAAACTGTTTACTCAACTCCTAAATTTATACAACATGTAATCTTTTACAGAGTTGGAAATTCGTTTTTTACATTGATCTCTAGGTGGATTTTGATACCTAACCCTATATATATATATATATATATATATGTGTGTGTGTGTGTGTGTGTGTGTGTGTGTGTGTGTGTGCGTGTGTGTGTATAAAGATGGTGAGTTTAAATGAGAACCAAAAATTCATTAAGAACTCGTGTAACCAATTATTCATGATTAATGTTGTAATAGATTTTTATAACAAAAATTACATGATATTAATGATAAAAATTCGTGATATCTATGATAAAAATGTATAAATCATAAAAACAGGAAATGCAAGACATTTATGATTATTCAGTATTGTTCATTACATAGTTTTCTGGGTCCTCAATGAATTTCAGGTATATGTGCATATATATATATATATATATATATATACATACATACATACAAAAACAATAACTAAATAAGAGAACACGAAAATGACCGATCACATGTGATTCTACACTAAAATCGCATGTGATTTACGTGACTTTAATTGTGACCTGACCAAGTTATCCACTCACCCTTACATTGATAGTGTTTTATAATCGTATATAAAATCATATATAATTTAACTGTCTTTTTGTTATTTTATTTTAATTTTGTTCTCGTTTAATTTTCGTGGATGAAAGTTGGGTCAAAATAAGTGTTGGTCAACGGTTTGACACCATAGTGGTTTTTCATCAAACACGTTTCTTTAGCCTCCAAAGGGCCAACCAAGTGGATTTGGTCACATATCAAAATTGTGTAAGTAGGGTTGGTCTCACTTATCAATATTTGTTTATTTATAAATTCATTAATATTTAATGTGTTAAATATGAACTAGAAGGGTATTCGTGTAATGCATCAAAATACATCTTGATTTTAATATTTTATTGTATTCATTTTTTATATTGATATAATACGGTTTTATGTGGTTTTGAGAAAAAACGATAAATGTTTTTATTTTTGCATAAAATATAAATTTGAAAATATTATAAAATTTTGAAAAAAATATATATCGATATCAGTATCAAATTAACCTTTTTAGAAGTTTTTGTGTTTTGGTGTAATTTTCTTAATTCAATTTTTTAATTATAATTTAATTTAGATTTAGTAATAAAAAAATTTAATTTAAGTTTAATAATATAATTTTTTATAAAAATTATAACTAAAGTATTCTATTAGAACTTAATGATTATCTTAATTACATTTTAGATTTTTTATATTTAAAATAAGATGTTTATCTAATATTTGATTATGTTTATTTGTAGTTAGTTGCACGAATTCAAATATGGAGCTTTAATAAGTTCTACTTATGCATAATTTATTTGTAATCTTAAATTTTAAGTAATATGCATCAATAAACAGTACTTCATGCATAAAAAATGGTTTTTAAGAGTTTTTGTCAAATTTTTTATAATATAGTATAGATACGAATTATTATTAAAAAATTTAATTTTTGAAATAAAAAGATATAAAAAATTGTAAGCAATTGAATATAATAATGACTTATTAAATAATTTTTAGTTAATTTAGAGTAAACTACAAATTTGGTCTATGCTTTTTGGTGGTTATAACAATTTTGGTCCCTACAGTGTAGAAATTACAAATTGACCATTGTGGTAAGCAAAAACGATTGAATTTGGTTCTTCCCTCTAATGATTGTTAGAATAACCCGTTAACTCAGGGTAATTTAGTCTTTTTCCACTTTTATCTAATTTTTCTTCAATAAATAAAAAGAATGTAAATTACAAGGACAAAAAATGTTACTTACTCATATATCTATACACAAATGCGGACACATAAGAACTTCACCCACACCCACACCCACACCCACCATTAGGGGTACTCATGGGTAGGGGTGAGTAGCGGAACCGGGTACCCGGCTGCGGAATCGGAACCGTCTTGAAACCGCCGGTTCTGGAACCGGAACCGATACGAGTGGTTCCGGTTCCTAAAATACGGAACCGATTGAGAATGGTTCCGGTTCCGGTTCTCAATTTTTCGGAACCGTTACCCGCCGGGTACCCGATATTTTTTAATAATAAAATTATTATTATTTTTTAATACTAAATTTATATTAGGTTTACATCTTGAAAGCATGCCGTCATCTTCATTCTTCATATAAAATGATTCGTATTTTTTCAAATTGTTTGTTCACATGGATTCATAGTATGTAATCGTTAAACTTTAAACATTTACCATTATAGTATGTAATCGTTAAACTTTGAACATTTTCTATTAGTCTATTATGGTTTGTAATCGTTAAACAATATTTGTAACTATTATTCTGTATAATTTGTATTCTTGCTTATTTATTTAGTGTTTTGGCAATATTTTATTTTTTATTTCTAAATAACAAAATTTTATTATTTTAGGAAGCAGGTACCTGGAACCGGAACCGGTTCCCGACGGTTCCGGTTCCAGTTCCAAAAATTTAAGAACCGCTCTAACCGGTTCCGGTTCCAATATCTCAAGAACTGCCGGTTCCGGTTTCGGTTCCTGTCAAAAAGGGCGGGTACCCGCCTATGCTCACCCCTACTCATGGGTTAGGTTGATTGGGTTGAAGACATTTAAACAACCTAATCCAATATTTGCGGTTTGAAAAATCTTAACCCAACCCAACCCAAACCAAACCAAAGTGCAACCCAACCCAAACCAAACCAACTCGTACGGGTTGGTCGGGTTGATACTTTGGTACATTAAAATATTCTTCTAACCTTGAATATGTTATTTATCTACTCATAATTTCTTTTTCATCATCAACCATTTGATACAACTTATCCATATTTCTTATGTATATCACATTCAGTTAATTTTCTCAATTTACATRTATATGTTCAAAGTTACTGAACATATATACGAATGAGTTATATAGAGATGTGATAGATTGAAAATATGTGTATAAGAAAAGCATACATAAAAGTGTAATTGTCTAATGTATATATTAATATAAATTCAACAATCATATTAAATCCAAAAAATAAAATGATATCGGGTTCGTCGGGTTGAGTTGGGTTCAAATAATAGTAATCCAATATCAACCCAATACCTACGGTTTGACAATTTTACAACTCAATTAGACATCGGGTTGCTTCGGATTGAGTTATTTACTGTTGATCGGATTTTTGAACACCCCTACCCACCATTATTATCCCCTCTTCGGGCTACCACCCATCGTCATCCTCTTCTCCGGTCATCTTTCCTGGCAAAAACTATCATGAATACAGACTAGTTTATTCTCACCAACACAATCACAATCAAACTCAAAAGTCAAATCCTAAATCTAAATCAAACCCATATCTAAACCTCAAAATCAAAATCAAAATCAAAATCAAACCCATATCCAAGTTGAACTTGTTTCAAACTCTAATCTAAAACCAAAAGCTAAACGACCGTGGAAGTGTGTGAGTTTTGGTGGTTGAAGCAGGACAAGGGAGTCGAAGGGAGGGGGGCTGTGATCGTGAAGCCAGAATAAAACCAGCCACCCCCACCTAGTTCTCTTTGATTTGCACTCTATAGTTTCGATATGCCCCCATTCATTCCAGGTTGGTGTTTGTTGGAGATTCAATCTGATTAGAGGAGATAGGGGAAAGGTAAGGAGAAGCATAACCAAGAAATTCCATAC